ATCCACCAGCATAAGCTAAAAATGGGGGCAGATTGGGCTGGGCCAGGCTATAGCACCTGTCAGAACATGCCGAGGTGAGGCAGACCATATCAGACTGGGCTATAGTACCCACAGCCTGTGAGATCTAGGGGAAGGGGTGATGTGTAGGAGCAAGAGGGTTAAAAGTTTTGTAGGGAGACTGTGAGGGCACTTCCTTGCTGAACCACTGCTTCCACCGATGAGCATGAGAACTGAGATGGGGTAGACCAGGCTGGGTAAAAACAGCACTTGTTGACCTACACGTGAACTGGGTTAGGAGGAGAGCCAGTCTGTGGGATGGATAGTGGGGTTGGTTGGGTTGAGCTAGGCTCTTAACACCCATGGATGTGTATGAGAGCCGAATGGAAAGTGGGATAGACTAGGCCAGTCTGCTTTGGCAAGCTCAGAGGCAGGGCTCGGGGGTGGGCATGGTGGGGTCTGCTGGGGGTCACTCCAAATAGGCTAAGGTTCCCGCAGGTTTGCGTGAGGGCAAGTGTGTGGTAGGCAGCACTGAGCTAGGTCCCAGCATCCAGTGGTTTATGTAAAAGGGAAGGCTGGAGACAGTGTGTGCATATGGGCTGAAGTGGGCAACAGACTGAGCTGGGAACCATACTGGCAAGCACACACAGGAGTCAGGTCTGGGGTCATCTCAGATGAGGTTTCTTTGGGACCCCCTTACTCCCACCAAATGAACTGCTAGACTCAGAACTCCAACTATGGGGAGAACTGCAGGATCTGTGGTCTGACTGTGGAATGCATGTGTCAGAACTGGGCCTCCTCAGTGACTTAGATGGTGCAGGCGATGGCATGCCCAGATGCACATGGAGGACATGGCAGTCCACTGGGGCCTGCAGAGGACATCTGTTACTGTAGCAGAGGAGGAAGGGCAGAACAAATTGGACAACTACCTCAGCCAAGCATTGACAGTAAGTATCTGAGCTAATGAAGACTCGAGGGTGGACTATGTCAGCCAATGGGCCTCGGAAGGATTTCCTCATGCTTGGAGCAACAAAATCAACAACATTTCAGAACTATGGAAACCATTTGAGCAGCACTCTCAGAGCATGCTCCACATCAGGGACCTGGGTTGACATCGGGTGGCCGTCCCCCATCCCCGGGTACTGATGTAGTTTGCACGTTGGGTGTGGCTTTTTCCCTTCTCTGCCCTCCTATCCCAGATACAGGAAGAAGAAACAAAAAATTGAAAGCAATGGTTTATCCACTTTGCCCTAATCTTCAACCCATGCTATCCTAATCAACTATGTAAACATCATCAAAAGTAAAGATTTTAAAAATTAATAAAGGTTTATAAGTAAAAATAAAAAGTCCATTAGAGTGAGTTTGTTAGGCTTCTTAAATATTATTGCAAAGCCTAACCTCAAAAAAGCTAGCACAGTAAACACAGTCATAGCATCACCAACCCAAATCCAATCACCTCATTTAGTGCCTAACTCAAGATTCTGTTCTATAGTAGAGACACTGAGGGGAGAGGGGTTTCTGCAGAATACCCTAACAGCTCCCTATCAACCCCAATCTGACTCTAGCGAAGAGATGGATGGCAAGTGGGTCCCACCAAAGGCCCTCGGGGACTTCCTCATCTACAGAGCCAGCTCTTCTTCTGAGCCCTTGAAGAACTTCAAGAAACTGACCTCACGTAGTCTTGAGGTTGTTTTATTTGGCATTCTCTATTCTGTAGGGCCCTAACTCACACCAGCCAATAGCCCAATCATCAGAAATCCTGCTACATTTTTCACATTGAACTTTCTCTGTTCAAATTACTCGGTGGGCTGCCAAACACACTCACCAAAAGAAACCTGGTGGAATGACCCTAACACCTGACCAATGGACTTTTCAGTAAGAAGCTTTCCTACAGCTCAAGAAGGACAAACACAAGATGCAGCCTTTCCAAACTCACACACAAAACAGGAATTCAAAAGCAGTCCTCATCAGGATAATTAGGCAAATTATAAGCATTCAAGATATTTTAACAAGTCACTTAGTAGAATAAGGATCAAAACACACTGGTAGAACTTGTATTCCTTAATTCAGGTAGAAACAACATTTTGTCACAATTCATTCTGCAATATACTGGCTACCTAAATGTTTTTTCCATATGTATATAATACCTAAATGCATAAAAATTCTATTAATAACAAGCCACTATATGCTAATAAACTTAAAAATTTAATGCATAATTTTGAAGGGAATTATAAATTACCAAGCATTTATTTAGAAAGCAACAGAAAATCAGCCAGGCTCCTAACATGAAAGAAATGGGGAAGGGCGGGCGCAGTGATGCAGGATGCCAACCCTTAGCCCTGTCACAGCAGCATCCACGTGGGCACTGGTTTGCGTCCTGCTGCTCCACTTATCCACCACCTCACCAATGGCCTAGGAAAGCAGCCAGCAGGGCTCAAGTTCCTGGGCTCCTGCACCCACGTGGGAAATGCAGAGGAGGCTCCTGGCTTCAGGTCAGCTCAGCTTTGGCTGTTCTGGCCATTTGGGCAATAAACCAGTGAGTATAATAAACCTATCTCTCTGTTTCTCTATGTACACCTGTTCAAATAAAAATAAATAATCATTTAAAATAATGCTTTATATTGCATACTCAGGGAAATACCAGGTGAAACAAAAATACTACACAGCTATTAGAATGGCCAAACTTTGGGATACTACACCAAGCATAGGTGAGGACTGGAGCACTACTAATTCTCATTTATTGCAAATGAAATGCAAACTGGCATAGTCACTTAAGAAGACAGCATACAACCCAGCAATCTTCCCACACAGTCCAGGCAATTATATCCTTTACTGCTTTATGAAAAGGAATTAAAACTTATCTCCACATAAAAACCGCATATAGATATTTTCAGCCATTTGATTCATCACTGCCAAACCATAGGAGTAACCACGATGTCTTTCAATAGGTACAAAGGTCATTTTGTTGTTAATCTGGTAGACTAAAGGATGCCCAGAGGCCAGTTATATCTAAAGATGTTTCCAAAAGAGCCTGGTAGTAGAATCAGTGGGCTGACTGCAGAAGTATCTGCCCTCACCAAATGTGGGTGAACACCATGTACTCTCTGTTAAGGCCCAGATAAAACATACAAGTAAGTTGGGCCTGGTGCAAATGTCTAGCAGTTGAAGTCCTCGCCTTGAATGCAACAGGATCCTACATGGGTGCCAGTTCTAATCCTGGCAGCCCCACTTTCTATTCAGCTCCCTGCTTGTGGCCTGGGAAAGCAATTGAGGACAGGCCAAAGCTTTGTAACCCTGCACCCATGTGGGCAACTCCGAAGAAGGTCCGGCCTCCTGGCTTTGCATTGACTCAGCACCAGCTGTTGTGGCCACTTGGGGAGTGAATCATTGGCCGGAAGATCTTCCTCTTTGTCTCTCCTCATCTTTGCACACCTGCCTTTCCAATAAAAATAAATACATCTTAAAAATAAAATACAAGCAGGCAAGCAGGGAAGAAGACATGTGCTCCCTCCTGCTGCTGGGCCACTGAACAGCAGGACTCTAGTCCCTGGGCCTCCAGTTTCTAGGACTTATACTGGTAGGTCCTTATGGTACCCACACATCTGCACTCAGGCCAAGTTCCACCACAAACCCTCCATGTGGGTGGCAGAGTGGGTGGGTGTCAGCAGAAAGCTGGATCAGAAGCAGCGCCAGGACATGGACCCATGGATTCTGCTATGGGATAGTGTCTTAACTGCTACGCCACCTCAAAATATATCTGAAGTCTTATTCCTTTCCGGTATTATACCAAGGGTTCCCTCCCACTAAGCTACATGTAACTTGTAACACTGATAAAAACTAGGGTAATAGTTAATAAAAATGTATGCAATGATTTTCCAACCATACTACAATTCTCAATTAGTTTGTATGGCTAACTGCTTGGTAAAGTCAGCATTAAATGTGTTTGGGCCTAGAGAGTAAGTCTATAGTCTAAAAAGCTTCCCTCTGGGGCCCAGCACTGTAGCACAGAGGATTACAACCTTGCCATGATGCCAGTATCCTGCTTGAATGTCAGTGGCTCCACTTCTAATCCGGCTCCTTGCTAACACAGCTGAGAAAACAGCAGAGATGAACCAAGTGCCCAGCCCTGCTATCCATGTAAAGACTCAAATGGAGTTCCAGGGTGGCTTCAACTCGGCCCAGCCTCAGCTGTTGTGGCCATGTGGGGAGTGACCCAGCAAATGGAAGATCCTTTTCTTGTTCCACTTTTCAAATACATAAATAAATCGTTTAAAACCAAACAAAAACAACCCTTTTTCTTGACGTTTATTCATAAATCAGCAATTTAAGCTTTTGAAACCTTTCTCCAAGGGAGCAAGTAGCCATCGAGAGCTGTTTCCCAGGCACATATAAATAAAACCATGACTTTCCTAATTCAGAGTTCTGTGATATTTAACCTACTTAGCACATAACACTTTGTGTGTACGTATATGTAGCTAATTTCAAAATCAAACAGAACTCTTAATATGCAGGAATATGCACCCATGCAAGGAACAAACACAGCAGCAAGAAGAGCTGAGCAGAAAGGGAGCCCAAAGACACATGGCAGCCAGCAGTGCTCTTGCAGCAACAGGCACCAAAACAGAGAGAATACGACGTATTACGGTAGAGGCTCTGCACGATCCATCTAATCCCTGTGTGGATGCTTGCAGATGGAGCACTTACCTATTCTCAGGAAATGCCTGACTTCAAAACCACAGCGATTATAACAATAATGCATAGTTTCAAAACTTCACAAGTGTGCGTAATTTTGCAAATGACAATTGGATTTTGAAAACAGAATTGGAAAACAAACTAAGCGTAAAATTGAAGGGCTTTACCAAAAAAAAAAAAAAAAACCCTCTATCCTGAAAACGGTTTTCTGTTAGTTTCTAACAATGTGGCTTAACAGCAGAACAGAAAATGCCATTTTCATTACACCCAGTTTTCAGATCACAACACCTGGAGCGCATTCTGCACTTTACCTTTCAATGCTGTCTTCTTCCAAAGTAATTTCCATGAATGTCTTCAGTTTTCTGTGAACAATGGCTGCAACTTCCTTCACCTTTGAATTTTTATGTTTACCTATGGGAACGTTACATTAAAAAGAGAAAAATACATTACCACACAAAAATAGGCATACTCTACTGTACACACAGGTACAAGTTTCAGAAGCTAAACAGTCTAGTTCTCCCATGTGGGTGGCAGGAACCCAAGGTCGGCATTAATACGAAGTGGTAGTCAGATATGAGAACTGAACTCAGTCTGATATCAGACGGGGGGTGGGGTCATTTCAAGCAGTAGGCCATAGGCCAAACACTAGCCCAGCCACAACTGTCTTTTAGTTTAAGAATGTAATGCCTGTGAGGCAGCAGGCATTCAGCGTTTCTGGTGGCTGACAGGAAACTCAAAAAGCTTCAGACCTCAAAGCATTTTGGACTTTGAAACAGAAATGTTCAACCAGTAAGGTCTATGAAAATATTCTAAAATCTTGGACTAGTGCTGTGGCATGGCATGCCAAGCTTCTGCCCATGGCATTAGCAACCACATGGGTACCAGTTTGTGCCCTGACTGTTCCACTTCTGATCCAGCACCCTGACTGGAGCCTGGGAGAGCATCAGAGGGAGCATGATTCAAGTCCTTGCAGCCTGCACCCAAGCAGAATGCCACTAAATCAATAGAAACTGAATCCATTATGGTGTTCACAGTGGGGGCTTTTGGGAAGTAATTAGATTGGAGCCCACTGAATCCTGGTGACTATACAAGGAAGGAAGCACAAACTCTTTTGTCTTGCCATGCGATACCCTGCCCAATCAGGAACTCGGCCAGGACACCAGCCCAGGGGCCAGACCAAGGAGTTCACCCAATCTTGCACTGTGAACCTCGAGCATCATGGTCAAAAGAGCCCCTTTCAAAACATCGTCAACCTCTTTTTATTATAAAGTCTTCTGCCTTAGGTATTTTATTCTAGTAACAAAAAGGTAATACAAAGGGATACAGATACTTAAATGATACAAAAGTGAAAGGTGAAAAGAAACTGACAATGGTGGTCAGGCTCATATAAACAGATTCAGATTTTCTAAAGAGAGTAATGCCAAGCGGACAAAACAACATCAGAGAGCTTGGGTACAAAGACTGTCAGATCCTTTAACAGTGAGTGAGGTATACCCAGCAACCTAGAATCATAGACAGGAAATGTAACCAACCTTTATTAATAACCAAAATAATATGTAGAACAGCCGTGAGGCACACAATGCCTTCAATATCATCAGAAAGCACACAAGACTTTAATTCATCTAAAAATGACCTGTAAAAAATTAGCAAGACTAAAATTATTCTCCAGCATATAGCCTAATATTTTATACATTTAAAAACACAACCAAGGCTTATCAGCAATCACAAACTTTGTCTTTCAGGTAACATGGGAAGCTGGCAGAACTCATCCCATACCTGTCATTAAGTATGCAAATCACAGAAGGAAGCTTTAAAATCAGATGCTATTGCTAGAAAGAAATGACAACAGCCTGTTGACTAAAAGAGGCCACTCCGTGTATCACCAAAACACAGAGAAGGTTTAGTTTTTGAAAGATAAAACCAGTTTAAAATGGTAATTTATAAAATGCTACTGAACACATCTGCTATTCAAGCTTCACGGGCATAAGATGCCTGTAAAATTATTCCCTATATAATCCATCAACCCCATGCATACAATACCTTAGAATTTTAGTTAAGAGACACAGAGAGGAGAAATGAGCTGTGGTGCTGAATGAAAATTACACTAGTCCTTAACTCCTTTTTTTTTTTTTTTTAAACAGGGAGAGCGCAAACGCAGTCCCCCACTACCACAAATCATGCAATGGGTGAGCCTTGCTCTGGGAAAACCACCTTTGTGATCACGGCATCTCCCCTTCCAGGTAAATATAGTGCTTCACTCGCAAAGTGTTTTGAATATACACACAGTAAAAAGTATTCTAACACAATAACATCTTATTTCTTTTAACCAAATTTTAGCTATGATAAACATATCCAGAGACTATCTCAAAGAACATACTTTATAGAAACTTAGGGTAAACTTAATGCAAATATTTTCAATTGCTGTAAAATAGAAAGCTCCATGGCTTACAGAAAAAGTGGATCCTCGAAAATTTTGAAACCAAAGTAGCTAAGAGTGCTTAACAGCCATGAAGAGAATTCAAAGACAATAATGAGACAATTACCTCACGACATTTGAAGACTTTAATATTATTCCTACTAAACACCTTGAGAATGGTGGAAGGTCAGAAAGACATTCTGGAGTGGTAAACTCTTCTATATCAGAAATCTAAATAGAAAGAGTTTCAAATAGAAAAGTTAGAAATTCAAATTGGGCTAATTACTTCACATACATTGCTCTGCGTTTATTCAACAACTGAGAGAAGTTTCCAGAAATTCAGAAGAATGACTTCTATGAACCTTGGAAATATCTACAATGATTATTAAGAATATGTTACACACAGGAGTGTCTATCTTGTTCAATAAGACAAAGTAATACCATGTCATTTAAGGATTTAGCCAAACAGTCTTTAATTTGACATCATCCTCTGTAAAACTATGCTTCCATGTTAAGCAAACTTAGTCTTTATTCTTACGGGTTTGGAGCAGGGCCTCTGCACATCACCATTACTGGGTCTGGGCTGTGCTGCTTTTCCCTAAGCAGTATTCCTGGCCTCGACTCAGTGCCAGCAGCACACTGGTCTGGCCCAACTAGCTGTGTGAATCTAAAATGTGTCACAATTTTGGCAACGTGCTCAGAGGGGTAGGATCTGGACCCATCCACACTGGGCTTCCACCTGCACCTTTAAAATCAGCCTTGTGAGGGGGGATAAGCTATTTAGCATTAAGCAATGGATTCCACACACAAATGGTTTCAAGGGAAATTTAAATCTAGAATTCTCATCCCTATTCTCCACCCATCACAGCTAAGGAATATGCCTTGCTCCTGTCACCTCAGACACTCTCACCACCTTCCCCTCCACCTTCATCAGAACCCCACACGGATCTGCAACAATGTTACCCTTTAGTAAGTATGAACAATCTCTTTTTCTAATGGCTAAGGAACGAATATACCTATCTTCATCTTTGTACCTGTCTTTTGCCTAATTTGGGGCACTTTTGGGGTATTTCATGTAGGCACTTCTAGCAAGTCTCCCTACATTTTGTTAGAATTATTACTCACATTTGAGCCACATAGTCTATCACCTTTACAGATGAAACAGGCTTACTTCTCACAAAAATAATTTACGTAAAATGCAATACAAGTATTTCTCTTAATTAAAAAAATGTACTTATTTATTTGAAAGGCAGAGACAAAGAAAAACAGAGCTCTTGTCCGAACCACTGGTTCACTCTGCCAAAGCAGCTGGAGCTTGGCCCTGCTCAAGTCAGGAGCCAGGAACTAATCCCTGTTTGCCAGACGGGTGGCAGGACCTAAGTGCCTGAGTCACCTGCTGCCTTCCACAGTGCACATTTGTAGCTTGCTGGATTCTGGAATAAAGTTGAGACTCAAATGCAAGTAACGCCCCCAGGGGATGAGAACATCCCATGTGATAACTATCTACTTCTAATACAACGAAACAGAACTACTGATTGACTAAAATAATTAAAACCTACAATATTTTGTGTGTGTAGAAGGAAAACATACAACAGTAGCAAGAATATCAGTTGAAAGAACACTATTAAAAGATACCTACAATGGGACCTGGCACAATAGCCTAGCAGTTAAAATCCTTGCCTTGAACGTGCCAGGATCCATATGTGTGCCAATTCTAGTCCCGGAAGCCACACTTCCCATCCAGCTCCCTGCCTGTGGCCTGGGAAAGCAGTCGAGGACGGCCCAAAGCTTTGGGACCCTGCACCCCTGAGGGAGACCTGGAGGAAGTTTCTTGTTCCTGCCTTCAGATTGGCTCAGCTCCAGCTATTGTGGCCACCTGGGGAATGAATCATCCAATGGAAGATCTTCCTCTCTGTCTCTCCTCATCTTTCTATATCTGACTTTCCAATTAAAAATATATATATCTACAATGTACATAGACAAGCTTAACTTGGGAAATGAGACTGATGAGCTAAGCAGGCATACTGAAATATTGAAAGAAACCACTAACAAAAATTGGAAAAAATAAAATGTAAAGTCAACAGGGAAGAAAGATGGAACAGTAAAAACATGATTTTTCCAAAAGTGGCAGGAAAGCAAAGCAGATGGAACTAGTGGAAAACATACCCCAAAACGATCATTTTAAATTCAAACATCAAAATGTAATAAAAGCAAATGGAAAGAACACCCCTCCCTCCCAAAAAATGGAAAACAAATACCCACAATCACTGGCTGGATTTAAGATACCCACCCTGTAGAATTTGACCAAATAAATTTTAAACAGAGAAGGTAGGCTAAAATAATTAAACAAACAAACAAAAAACCACATATTTGCTGTGCCATTATAAAGCATGATTATGTATACGAATGTGCAAAAACTGTAAGATTTCCCAGTCGGACCTCATCTTTTCATACTGTGAGGATATACCATTATCTTTAATATCCTCAAGTCACTGTCCCATGGCCGTACCAAATTATATCATTGAGATAAGGAGAAAAAGAATATTCTCAGTATTCCATGTGGTATAATTCTCATTCCAATCATTGATATTGATAGCAACTAGGCTAATAACTACTGTATTAATAACTATCTTCTCTTTACCATTTCTACTAGGAAAATAAGGTTAAGTAGAAATAAATGCATTATTTACTTAAACTGATGCCACAAGGTTGCTTTCCTGTGCTCAAAATAAAAAAGGTTAACAATAGAAAATCAAAAAGATGTAAACTGGCCCTCAAAATGTAGTCCCCTTTCAACCACTGAGAAGAATATTTAAATGTATAAACTCATTAAATCTCTAAAAAGTAGCACAAAGATATGTTCAAAATGCAGGATAGTTCTGCCCAGTCATACTAGCCTTAGTATATTTTCCACAACTGTCCTATGACTCCACAATACTCGGAGTGGTGTGTGGCACACTGCGTTAGATGTTACCTGGGATGCTGGCATGCCACGTGAGCACTGATCCAATCCAGCTCCCTGCTACCGCACTGGGAAGTCAGCAGAAGCTGGCGCAAGACATGAGCAGACATGGACGGCTTCACCGTGACCTAGCCCTTGCTACTGCATTTGGTGAAAAAACCACTATCTCTCTCTGTAACACTGCATTTCACATGAATAAATATTGAAAAACATATATCAACCAGCTTTTAGATAGAGGTGCTAGGAAAACATACCAATCTATTCATTCAAATTTGAGATCTCAGAAAATACTTTGAAAAACTTAAAACCCGTACTGCCAGTACAAATAGCATCTTACATACATTTAAAAGCTAGCACAGTCAGGATCAATATAATTCACCTTTCGTAGTCTGTGACTTATCTCGACCACAGGCGCAGCAATCAGAGTAGAGAGTATGCCCCGGTGAACAGGAGTATCCACATGCCAAGACTGAACCGTGGTTAAGAATTCATGAAAAGGAGTCTGAACAGAATAAAGGAGCTACAAGAAAACACATCACTTAATTTTAGTGGAGCTAAAAATCATGATTTAAAAGCAGACAGACAGATATTTTCAGGTAAGCATTCCCAGGACTGATCTGCCTTGCCTGTTACCATTGCCCACTACTCCTCTTCACCGTTGCTGATGACTCCCCAAGCCCAGACAGATAGTCTAAAGCCCACGAGGGATCATCATTAGAACGTTCCCTCAGGAAGAGAAACATCAATAACAGGAAGAAAGGAAGGCAGAGGCAATCAGGTAGGTTGGGCAATGACATGAAAGTAAGGCCTCAATTAGGAAGCAATGGAGTCAACAGAAAAAGGGTTCAGGGGGAATGAAAGGTTTTGGCAAAAATCGTATTACAGAAACAAATTACAGAAAGTTGAAACTAAAAAACTGGAAAGGTCTGAGGCAGGCATTTGTCCTAGCAGTTAGGAAGTGGCTTGGGACACAGACACCCCGTATCACAGTGCCAGCTTCCACTCCAGTGAATACGCAGACAACGGCTTAAGCTGTGTCAGTCTTCACTGAATTCTCAACTCCTGGTTTCACCCCTGGCATCAGGGGATTAACTAGCAGATGGGAGCTGCTTCTGTTTTTCTTTCTCTCTCTACCTTTAAATAATTAAAACAAAAACACAGAAATATTTCAAATAAATTCAAATATGAGACAGGATAAGAAAAACATGATCAATAGCATTTAATTACCTTTTAGGTAAGGAAAAGGATAAAATTCAAAGTAAAGTCTTCAAGAAACAGCCTCCCACTTTTCCCCCCACATTTAAAATTTAATTTAAAAAACTGGTGCCAATATTGTGGCACAAAGGTTAAGCTGCAGGCTTCAACACTAGCATTCCATGTTAAACTGATAGTTCAAGTTTTCATTGCTCTGCTTACAATCCAGCTCCCTACTATTGTGTAAGCAGTGGAAAACAGCCCAAGTCTGTGAACCCATGCCTCTCACATGGGGGACCTGGAGGCAGTCCTGGTTCCTGACTTTCACAGACACTTGGGAGGTGAGCCAATGGATTAAAGATACCTTTGTGCCCCCACCAGCCACTCTGCCTTTCAACAGGAATAATTTTTTAAAAAGGAGGGGAGGGAGTAGTGCAGTAGCCTAGTGGCTAAAGTTCTCGCCTTGCACACAATGGGATCCTAAATGGGTGCTAGTTCCTATCCTGGCAGCCCCACTTCCCATTCAGCTCACTGCTTGTAGCCCATGGAAAGCAGGAGAGGATGGCCCAAGGTCTTGAGACCCTGCACCTGCGTGGGAAACCCAAAAGAGCTCCTGGTTCTTGATCAGCCCAGCTCTGGCCATTGTGATCACTTGGGGAGTAAATCAGCAGACAGAAGATATTTCTCTGTGTCTCTCTTTCTCTGTATATCTGACTTCCCACTAATAAATAAACAAACAAATAAATAAATCTTTTAAAAAATAAGGTTGCTGATACAAAAGATAGTGGGTCTATGAAAACAATAATTTTGTTCAGGAATTGGTATTAAATTAGGTTTAGGAGTACAGCAAATCTGGTGTTCAGGTCTTTATAAATACAAGTATCACTTCCCAACAGCTTTCAGCCAGCAAAGGGAAACCAAAGCTCCAGTTCTGAGAGACTCACAACCAAGGCAAGGTAAACCTACGAAAAGGTGACCCACACAATGTAGAAATCATCATTTCATCTGGACAAGGCCTTGACCACTCTATAAATAACTAAAATCAGCATCTTCAGAAACATTTGGGAAATTCCATAAAATAACAACTGAGCACACAGCGCCTTTAGCAATCAGAGCTCTGCTTCCTGTCCAGCAAGCCGGTCTCCCGGAACTCCTGCTGGAAGACTTTCAGGCTGACCCTCGAGCCCCTGAGGCCTCTTGCCTCTTCACCTCCAGTCCCAAAGCAGGGAGGATGATTTCTCGGATGAGGAACTATGGCAAATTCTAGTGAAGCGTGCCTTCTACCCAACATTTACTGTACCCAATGGGAAATGACTGCATGGGAGCAGGTGCCTGGGACCAGAAAGCCCATTGAGAAAACACCCTCCTAACTAGCCACCCTTTCCAGGGAGGATGTTAAGTACCCGCAGGCCCTCTTCCGGCTGCTTCTTGAAGCTCCGTGCAATACATTCCAACATTTTCTGAAACACCTGCTGGACTGTGTCAAACAGCGCTGTAACTTCTTCTTCTGAGTCTATTTTCTGAATACAGCGATTTCCAGTTGTCTCCCTCAGTATGCCAAGAAGCGATGACACATAAAAAAATCCCTTCACTAGAAACAAGATGGGAAAAATAAGTCATATAATCATTGATTAAATTTAAAGTCCCTTGACACATATAACTTTTAAAAGATTACTATCCAAAACAAGATTAAAATAAACAAACTTTTGTTCCATTTTACTAAAAACCAGTACATTCAGTAACATTAATGTGACTCCATCACAAAACTCAGAACTACATTCACTGCAGTGTGAGCACACAGCAAGACAGGATGTGTCTCCCTGGACAGCTCAGCCGGAGAAGGTGAACTGGTTCTCTGACAGTGAAGCCGATGACTGTCGGCATTCAGCACGGCAGGGCGGGCGGAGACCTTGCCAGGCACAACTTGGAAAGCTGACTGATGGCGAAATTCCCAACACGTGCTGCTAGTTTACTGGCGATCTTTTACCATCTCCTTTACTACATTAATTTGGTAAGATTTACTCTGTATAGCCATGCCTGAGATCCTGAATTTTCATTTTTGCATTTAACCAATTGTATTGGTAAATGGGGCTACTCAGCACAGACCACCCTGGGTAAGCCTGGTGAGCACCTGTGCTCTCATCCCATGCCAGCGCTCACACAGCCCTGCACGTGGGTTACCCTCACATATGGATCATGGGAGCCTCCCTGCTTAACAGCAATCATACTGCATGGGGTTTCTTCAATCCACTGTAGATTTAAAATTTGTTACAATAAAAATAACAAATGTTCTCCACGAACAGACTATGCCATGAGTGACAAAGAGATGTTCCTTATAGTACCTCATGAGCCTACTATCTTAGTTGGTAAATCAGACTAGCAACTAACCTAAAACCCCAAACCAATCTAAAGAAAATATATTAGATTGCATTTGCAATCTCTGGAATTAGATTACTCTGCAAAAGGCTAATGGCTTTACTAGGATCAATAAAAACTTCATAGAATCTTTAAAATCATAGCAGAAATTTTCAAAGAACCATTCTCTTTTATTTAAAAGGCAAAGGGAAATACATTTTCCACACATGTAAGTCACCTGGAAAACCACCCATCAGTGGAACAGGTGACAGGAAAATACTGTGTCCTTGACAGAGAAAGTAGGAACAGCCGAGAGGCTAACGCACAGACTACAGGTTCTGATGAACCAGGCGTGATCTGGCTATTGCAGTCACTTGGGCAGTGAACTAGCACATAGATGATTCCTACTTCATCCCATTTCTTCCTCTCTCTATCGTTCCACCACATCTCTTCTTTTCTGTAACTTACCTTTAAAACAACTAAAATAAATCTTTAAAAAAAATAATCCAGCTTGAGCCACAGACACAATGCGCAGAGATGCTGGTCATTAGGGGTACGGGACAGACAGGCTGTCCAGGATCAGGGCTGGAGGCACAACTACGCAGGCACCTTCCTTCCCAGAAGCTACAATTCGGTGGAGGAGATAACAACTCCAAGGTCTGACGCTCCCAGGCTGCTCTCCCCATTCCCCTCCCTTCAGCTACCTGCTATGTGGTAGGAGAAACTGATCTTCAGGCCCCAGACGGCTCCAGTGACTGCCCTCTCACTCCGTCAAATGCCCAGCAGGCAGCAAACAAGGCTGAGTAGTTAGTCACCATGGGCTGCCCTATGTTACCCTCTTCCTGGGTATGAAACGGCCAGCTCCACACTCCAGCTCTTCTGTGATATTTCCTACACAAATACCAGGAAACAGCTCTACCCCTCTGCCCACGGAAAAAGCCTACTGGCAAAAAAGCACATCACGAAAGCAGCACAATCTCAATGACCTCATCCAAAGGTCTGGAATGTCTGAGCGGAAAGCCGTTTGAACCTTCTGCCTTGTTATGAGCTAATTTGTGCTATGCATCTATCACCTAAAAGCCCAAGTCGTGACCTACACAATAAAGCAGGAGGAAGAGCACCAAGGCCTAGCTTTGAATACTTGTGGCTCTAAGCCAGTCCCCCAGTGGATGAGGTATACTGTACCTGTCTGCATGATTGCAAGAGTCCGCTGTAAAAGTTTTGTCTGAAACTTCAGGTCCCCAAGGCCGACCATGACAACATCCTTACATACAGTCAGATAGGTCTGCAAGAGACAGCGGGATTTCCCAACAAAGGCCATGAGGAAAGGGGGAATAAGGCACACTGATAGACTTTCTCCCATCTGAGGTATAGCAGTCATCTCACAACAAGAGATGCTTACAAAAGGATGCTCATAAAGACACATTTTCATTTTTGTTGTCATAAGAAATCTACGAACACACTTTATGTAATTCAAACACAACTGAACACCTACTAAATATAATTTGCAAATTTTCAAATCACGTTTTTCATGCTTTATTAAAAGATAGAACTAATTAACTGCTATTTAAGAATTTCGGAACAGCGGGCCTGGTGCAACAGCGGAGTGGTTAAGGTCCTCGCCTTGTACGCCCGGGATCCCATATGGGCACCTAGATTTCTAATCCCGGCAGCCCTGTTTCTCATCCAGCTCCCCACTTGTGGCCTGGGAAAGCAGTCGAGGATGGCCCAAAATTTTGGGACCCTGCACCCGTGTAGGAGACCAGGAAGAAGGTCCTGGCTCCTGGCTTTGGATTGGCTCAGCTCCAACTGTTGCAGCCGCTTGGGGAGTGAACCATTGGATGGAAGATCTTCCTCTCGGTCTTTCCTCCTCTCTATTTCTGCCTTACCAATAAAAATAAAGAAATCTTAAAAAAAAAAAAAAAAGAACTTAGGAAGAGCAATAGTAACGTTTAAAATTGCTACTTGAAAACAGAAAACTGGAAACACAGGAAGGCAGACTTCAGTCCTGAAATGTCTAACCTGGATAATTTGCTGATAAAGAACTCTGTGAAGCTTCAGGTACTCTTCTTCTTGATCTTGAATAAAAGATAAAACTTTGCTTTCTAACCAAAATCCAGTATCTTCCAAACCAGACAGGTAAACTTTTCCTTCCGAGCAGAACTGTCAACAACAATAAAAGCTATATCAGTAATGGAAACAAAGTGGCTGATGTGTTCCTCAGCTGAACAGAGCCATCCAGAGGCGCACCTTGTGCTGAAGGTGAATACTCAGCCGGCAGTGGAGACTGAAGGCTCGCAAGGCAGTGGCATCACTGACAGTAGGTTTCCCAGCAGGCGACTGCAGAAGCGATTCCAAATCTGCCTGTAATATTAAAACCCAAAGAGCTAAGCTTTGATCAATACTCCACCTCAATGTCCTCAACAGAAGTATACTGGAAATGCTGATCCTCTGACTCCACAGCTCAACTGAAGTCACGGGAAGAGCCTAACACACACACACGACAGCCAAGAAGGCCCACTGTCCCCTAGAGCCACTATGTGCAAACACACCGTGTCCACTTCCATCCTCAATGTCAGCTCACCTCTTCCTCTAGACCCCTACAGCATTCCTGCCGCACCCAGCTGTGAACCACCCTCAGCAGCAGCAAAGATCAGAAGGCTTGCTGCTGTAGAGGTATCCAGGGCCAGGAGTGGAAAGAGGGACTCCATGGGGCACTGAGAGCACGAGAACTTCACATCCTACACTATAGGATTCCCAGGGAGGAAAAACTCAACGATTCTGGAAGGAGCCAGTAATCCCAAATGGATGGGCCTTAACAGAATCACCTATATCCTGGCACTCCAAGAACACAGCTCGTATGAAGGTCAGGGCCAGAAAACAGATCATACTCCCAATCCCACCTCCTTAGTTTTGTCCACAAAACTGAAGAAGATATACAGCACTCCAAGCTCCTCTTGTTTGAAAAAGCTTATAGTATTAAAATATGAAAACTACATTTGACATGATCAAATGTTAACAATCACCCAAATTTCAGGATATTAAATCACCTTTGAGGTTTCCAGTGCTTTTAAAAGATGGTTAAGTTTCTTCTGGGGAGCAGAGAGCAGGCACTCTCGGTTCTTTGGATGCGTCAGCAGATACTCTATGTAAGTCAAGGCCAACTCGGGCTTCACTGGGCGTGCATCCTGGATCTGCACTTTGCGTTTAGATGCTGAATTACTCTGCAAGACAGCAAACACTGATCACTAAAACACGAGCCTGGAAAAGCAGGTAGTTTTTAATGCACAGCTTTCCACATTCATCAAACCTCAAACAAATACGACGAAAAAATACCTTGGCCTGCGGCTGCTGTCCTGGCAGCCAGTCATCAAGAAGTTCCAGAATATGTCCCACCTGTCCCCAGGAGCAAAGACAGTCTAACAAGGTACAGTAGCTCTTGTCTACACTGCTCTCCTCCTGGCTTCTCAAGGTAGAAATCACACCACAACTGAAAATATCAAATAGGTAAAATCAGATCAACATTTCAACAACCATCCCACTTTCCCAAAAGGTGAGGAATAAGTAGCTAAAAACCAAGGGATTGTGTATCCCTTGCTGTGTTAATAATAACACGTCAACATTCTTCAACGCAGGAATAAGCTTGCTGCTTCCCAGTCACTGCATGTGATAAGTCCTCCCCTGAACACTCAACAGGACAGTGAACTTGGAAGGTGCTACGGTCAGGACTACACCAGCCCAGGACCATACCAGCTGCAATACTCCTTTATCTGTTGTTTCTGTGCCATGTCTGCTGAGTCTAGAGTGTATCAAAGTGTTCAAAAGGGCAGAAGGAAACACAGGCTGTGAACGGAACACTGAACGTGATGGTCGGCCAGCCATGAGCTAACAGCTGAGTACAACCAATGGTAAAGATTCCTACTTTACTGCTGTATTGAAAAACACATACCTGAATGGAGGAACTGCAGACGCTGGCAGAAAGGACATCAGCATGAACAACGGGATCTTGCACCGATCATCCTAAAAGCATCAAACAGAAAAAAGCAAACAATACTTAACGTTTAAGAAGTTATTCAAATCTTTCCACGTAATGGCTTAGTAACTATTTTTCAAACTTGCTCAGTAAGAATTATAGTAATCCTCCAGTATTCAAAGCAAACACATAAAGCTTTTACAAAGCCTCATATTTGAAGGATAGAAATAATTACTGGTAAGTATTCTGAAACCCTAATGCAACATTTTACTATTTTGTACAAATACTTACTACCATGGTCTTTGTACCAGGCACCAATCTAGATTCTGGGGATATACCAATGACCAGAACTGACAAAATTCCAAATCATTGTGGAGTTGGGCCTATTACAAAAATCATATTGATGGGGGCCAGCACGATGGTTCAACAGGCTAATCCTTCACCTTTAAATGATAGCACCCCTTTTGGGTACTGCTTCAAGTCCTGGCTGCTCTACTTCCAACCAGCTCCCTGCTTATGGCCTGGGAAAGCAGTGGAGGATAGATCAAGTCCTTTGGACCCTGTATCCATGTGGGAGATCCAGGAGTTCCTGGCCCCTGGCTTCCTAGCTCTAGCCATTCGGAAAGAGAAATCAGCAGACGAAGATCTTTCCCCTTCTGCCTCTCCACCTCTCTGTAAATCTACCTTTCAAATAAAAGCAGTTTTTGAAAAAATTTAAAAATCATCTAATGAAAGGAAAAATGTTTAATTCCACACCTTGACAATCCTAACCACGAGTAAAGCAGTCAGGGAAAAATGCACGAGTCAGAATATCTTTAGGAAAAACAATTTAGTATAACAGAAAATGTACAGGCTGTGTAGCTAACGATCCAAACCTAAATCTAACTCTGCCTTATCAGCTGACACAACAGAGAAAAAAGGCTAAATAAATAGTTTCCCCATCTACAAAACTGATATGGGATGGCTGGAACAGTTGAATAAACCAAATCCATAAAACCCTGCAGCAGTACCTGGTACACACTAATCATTTAATGAACGGTGGCTGTATTATAATGAAAAGATCAATAGGGCGCAGAATCCATCAAGAACACACAAGAAACATGCTCGGTTGGGAGAACGAGCTGGTGGTAGATCCGAAAGGGAAAAATTAGCCTTCCTGGTGCTTGTATTCTGTTATAATGAATCCACCTTTGCTCCCAAGTCCAAAAACAGCAGGGAGATCTTTTTAAACATTTTAAAAGATAGACTTTTTAGTTAGCCATTCCATAATGCATGCACATTTAAAAACATGTAAGTCACAATAAATACACACAATTTTTGTCAGTAAAAACATGTAAGTTTGGGGCAGGTGTTTGGCCTAGCACAAAAGAAGCCAGTTGAGAAGCTTGCATCCCACATCCAAGTACTTGGGTTTCATTTCCAGCACTGGCTCCCAACTCCAGCTTTCTGTGAATGCAGAGGCAGGGAGGCAAAAGTAACGGCTCACAAGATGGGGCCGCCTCACCTCCCAGGAGACATGGACTGAGTCCCTGGCTCCCGTTTTTAGCCTCTCATTGTAAACATTTGATGACGGAGCCAGCAGACAGGTAGCTTTGTATCTCTCAAATGAATACAAAATTTCTTAAAAAATCAAATGTACATGAATCTACTTGCCCCACAACACAGACACAATGCTCAAATTCTTCAATACTTTGCCTATTGTATGCTTTCAATATCAAAACCCTGCAAATCAGATTCTACTCTAAAACAGTGTCACAGATCCTGCAGTAGAAGAATCCAGGGCCTACCTGGACACTTGTCTGGGTGCTGAGGACATGAAGCTGACATGCAGCCTCTGCTCTCAAGGATTATCAGAAACTAATTCTATCACAAGATACTCTACTAGTTGTCTCTTCTCATTTTATAGAGAAAACAGAGGTAAACATGTTAAGGAACTCTTGCAAAATTCTAAGAAAATAAATGTAAGTCTCACCCCCTACTTCCTTACAAATACAGTTCAGGACTTACCTTAAATACTTTCAGATACTCCGGGAGCACAGCGGCAAACTTGTTCACAGTGTAAATCTTGGCCTCTTTGTTGTTTTCAATACTGCCATGGATACTCTTCCAGAGAATCACAACAACTTCTAATAAACCCGCCATGGATGCTACATCACTTACAGAGAGTGTTTTATCCAGGACCTAAGACACAAACAATTCTATTGTGAACGAAGATAACGACAACAACTGGCATACGACAACAGCACTGCGGCAGGAATGTGGCAGCACAGCCAGGATGCCAGCCGAATGCCGGTGCAGACCACCTGGAGCCAGCCAGGACGCCAGCCGGGATGCCCGTGCAGACCACCTGGAGCCAGGTTTCGGCTCCATTTTCAGTCCCAGCAGTCTGCTCATGTGGAACTGGAAGGCAGTAGGTGATGGCTGAGATTTTGGGGTCCCTATTATCCAGACAAGTGACCCACACAGAGTTCCAGCATCCTGGTTTTAGACTATCTGTGCAGTGAATTAAGGACTAGAAGATCTCAGACTTTGTTTCTCGCTGTGTCTGCTTTCCAAATAAATAAGACTTAGAAAAAAATTAAAAAGACAATAGCTTTATCTTTAAAAGCCCACTCAATACCTAAAGCAGCTTCCTGTTAATGCAGAAATATAAGGGATATCAGTCTATTTTTATGCAGTAAGGTTTTTTAATACATCATTCTTTTTAACCACTTAAGAACATTAGGAATAGGCGTACTTTAAAGTCTTTTCAGACGTTTAGGGTGGTGCTGGACACTGCTCCCCATTGCAGCTTTGTGTAAGTGTGCACCCTCAGGGGCTACAAGGGCCGGATACAGTAACTGAGTCCCTGCCCCTCACTGGAAAGCAAAGATAGCATTCCCAGCTCCGAGCACTGGTCCAAGCAGGGAGCTGGATGGAAAACAGGTCTGCCAGGATTAGAACTGGTCCCCATATGAGATCCTGGTATGTACAAGGCAAGGACCTTAGCCGCTAGGCTACCATGCCAGGCCCTCAAATAAAAAATTTTTTAAAGCCTACCAAAGAAATCAACTCCAAACAAACTTGATATCTTAAAAAAAAAAAAAAAAAAAAAAACCCATAAGAATTGAAGCAACAGTTCAAAATGTATAACTACTATCTTCCCTTGGAGGTTCAACACGCCATTGAAAAACACATTATTTTTTGTTTTCCCTTCATTTGCTAAGAGTTCTCTTTTCACGATAAGCCTCAACTGTAAAGGAAGCAAGTGGAAGGGATAACTACAAACCTAACTGAAAGACGGCTTTACTGAAATACAGCTGTAACAATCTAACACATCAGATCACGGCCAGGATGAGATCCTCTGGCAGAAAGCACCTACAGAAACTGGCTCACACTGACTCATTATGATTAACCACCACTGAAGCCCAGGTTTCTTCAGTTGCAAAAACAAACAAAAAAACACCTTAGCGACATTTTCCTGAACTTACCCTGGTAGTACAAAGTGATGAATTCCTCTTCCATTCATAAAGTGGCAATCCACACTGCCACCTCTCCTCGTACGCACACCGCAGCTGCAGGCCAGCAACCCACACGCCCAGCACAACCAACACAACCAGTGAGATCTGCGAACTACCCTTACTGTGGGACTCTAATAAAGACAGTCTAACAGGGGACAGCACCGTGACGCAGTGGGTAAAGCTGTGATGTCAGCATCCCACGTGGACACCAGTTCAAGTCCAGCTGCTCCACTAGTCACTCAGCTCGCTGCTGATGGGTCTGGGGAAAGCACAAGAGAGCGCAAGTGCTTGGTCCCTGTCACCCACAGGGCAGATCTGGAAGCAGCTCCTGGCTCCTGGATACAGACTGGCCCAGCCTAGCTGTGGCAATCACCTGGGGAATGCAATCAGTGGATGGAAGATTTCTGTTTCTCCCTCTTTAACGCTTCCTTTCGAATAAATAAATTCATCTTTTTAAATGCAATCTAATGATTTGCTAAGTAACCAACATAGGCAATTTTCTGGAAGGAGATTACTTGCGATTACAAGAATGATTCATCTCTGGCATTAATTTTTTTAAGCATCCTACTCAAATGAAATGGGGAAAAGTATTAGTGAGAAAACCAAGTAGTAAGGATACACAAAAGTAAAGGTGGTTCTACATATAATTTGAAATCTCAGCATGCCCTTAAGTGCTTTAAGTTACAGCCATGAGTAACAGCCCATCAAATTTAAAAGGCAAAGAAACTAACAACTTAAAAAATACCAGATGAACCACAGGCAAAAAGACTGACACAAGTTAATTTTCCTTGTAATTGTTCTACTGTTTAGTACAGCAGTCATTCCACTCAAGTTTTCTGAGACAAGACACTACTTCTAGCTTATAAATACCATTTGGAAAATGTGTTAAATCCCCAGGTAATAGCTCATTACACAGGCAACTTTTTGGTTTAACAAAGAAAAATCTGTGGTTTTTAGCAGATACCAATGAGAGAGCTAAAAGAGCCACTACAAGAGTATTTGTCTTTTAGCCACACTGGTGCTCTTAGATTAGAACACTATAGGAGCAACTACGGTTTGTGACACAGATTGCAACAGAGCTCTACATACTCCTAACCCACGTCAATCTAGAATATGTAGAAGGATCTTGACAAGCAGCAGACAGCAGAGAAGAGACACACGAACGACAGGACTCCTTAAAAGATGTGTTTTGTATTCTCACTGAATGGGACTTCCCCAAGCTAAGAACCCTACCAAGATTTTCCTCAGTATTAAAAACCTTTGAATTCTGAAAACACAGCAGCTTCTGAGTACCTTTAACAAATTATATTTTAAAAAAATAATTCTACAGAAACTTAATTTCAAAACTAGCTTCAAGATATTTTTAGTAAAAAACTTATGCTTAAACAGTGGCTCTGAGTAAAAACATTACCCATTTAACTATAAACCACAGGAATGTCCTGAACGAAATCTGGGCTCAGAGTGTCACCAGCAAGAATCTCTCTTCTGAACTGAATCCTATTCCAACTCCAACGTGCATACAAGAATACGTTCAGGAACGAAATTCAAGATGCTCCAAAGCACTCTGAATATGCTAAAGGGACAAATGGAAAACAAAAATATTCTTAAGCTAACAGTCCACAGAGATGCTGTGACGAGGGCACAGGCTCCTCTCTCGCCGGGCAGGGAGCCCCTGGGGGACAGGTGTGCTGCGCCTCCACTTACGCTCTCGTTCTCCTTCTCCCGCTCCGCGCCGTCCTCGTGACACTCCCTCATCGCCCTCTGGATGCAGGCATTTAAGCAGTGGCGAATGACATGAATCAGTTTTGCTAAAATGTTTAAGATAATCGATAATTAGCATGTTTCTTCCACAAAATCAATTTTCTTAATAGTAAAACCATAAGTTCACATAGTTAAATCTATTTACAGTAAATCATTAAGAAATGCATTACAGCACCAACCTCAACGAAACAACAAATGCTAAACATGTAAAATGTGCTTATACTTCAGGGGAGAGATAAATGGAGCAGCAGCAACGGTCCACACCTATGTTAGTGCAGGCAGTGTGCTCGTGTGCATACTGGTAGAACCTTCTGGCAGCTGCGTGATTCATCTGGATCAGAGTGACACAGCGTTCACACCACACCTCCTCTGGCTGGTTCACAGGCAGGAAAGAATTAAAGATGAGGCTCACCAGGCGTCGACACACAGGTCGGGAATCAGTTTGCAGACGAACCAAAATATGCTCCATGGGGCATATTTTCCAAAACTGTATACAAAACACATAGGTAAAAGAAACTTATCAATTGTTCCTCATCTTAAAAATAGCTTAAGTAAGGTTTCCAAAGCATATCCCAAAAGGAACCAATTTTTCTATTTAAAACATTGTTGCAAATGCCAAGCCAAGCCGAGCTGAAACCAGGAGCCATGAGCCATTTCCTGATTTCACTTGCATGTGCAGGGTCCCAAGACTTTGGGCTGTCCTCAACTGCTTTCCCAGGCCACAAGCAGGGAGCTGGATGGGAAACAGGGCTGCCGGGATTAGAACTGGAGGCGCTCATATGAGTTCCTGGCACATGCAAGTTGAGGACTTAGCTGCTGGGTTCCCTCGCCGGGGCCCCCTGTTAGCCTTCTAATATGAAAGTAAATACAGCTGTGATATGGGCAAACTACATCTCTTATCAGAGATATAGGCTATAGTCCTGATCACTCGGGGCAACCTGCCAGCCCCTCTCCAGCACTGGGTACCCACATGATCAGATTCCCACAGCTTGGTCTCTGCCTCCTGGCACTCCCACCTCACTGTCAGACCATTTGCAAAGGTAAGAATTTAATATATTGTTTTTCCACTCACAAGCTCTCACAGTTGCTTACTCCTTGGACCTAGAGGCCAGCAGGCCCTTGGACCTAGCTTTCTCAAGGACCTGTGCAAGTGATGGATTCCTGTCTGCGATCTTTAGTGAGATGGTTCTCACCAATGTTTAAACATTTCTTTGTCATTACAGCTCTTAAAACAGACTCCTGGGCCCAGTGCGGTAACCTATTGGCTGAAGACAAGACTCTGGGCTCCAGGCTTCAGATCAACTCCTCTCCAGCTGTTGCAAGTCACTTGGGGAGTCAATCAACAAATGGAAGATTTTCCTTTATGTCTCTCTTCCACTCTGTATATCTGACTTTCCGATAAAAAAATTTAAAAAAATAAATATAAAAGAACAACCGTCTCCTTAGAAAAGCCTCACCTTCCTTTCCCTTCTCTACAATCTACTAAGAGTGATTGGAGGTGAAGGTGAGAGAACATGTTCCTGAGATGCTTGCACTCCAGACTCCTCTTGGCATTCTGAAAGTTACCATGCTTTAAGACACCAAGTAGACCCAATTCCATAAGGACGCAACCCCAGCACTGGGAAGAGAAGTTAATGTCCAGTGTTCCGAGTAGTACAGGAAAAAGAATGCAGCAATGGCTTCCAGTTTTATCATGGACTACGATGTTCTGTCAATCAAAATCCCAACTCTGACACAAGAAGCCTGAAAACTGCAGGAACAGACTCTTGGGTGTGAGTTAGAGAAGGCGCTTGCCAGAAGGTTTAAAACAGACTTATTCTAACCATCTTAGCATCCTTCCAGCTCTCTCCCCGACCGACCAGCGCCCCTTGCTGCCTCTCCGGACCCAGGGACACCTCCTGCCTCACTTCCAACGGATCATTCACAGCCTTGGATGCACACAGGTAGTCCTGAGGCTGACAGCACGGCCAACAACTGACATGGCTGGAAACCTCCATGATTTTAATTTCACAACAATCCCAAATACAGACACCCTATTTTATAGATAAAGAAATTGAAGGTTAGCAAATAAAAGACCGTAAGACTTGCCAGTACTCCACAATGATGTCTTATAATATCACAGAAGAGCCCAACTGGAAGTTTGTAGGTGTACACCGACACAGATAAATTAAAGGAAAGATCTGACATTTCTTGCACCTAGTATGGTTAACAACAAAAACAAACACAACTCTCATTGATTCTATATTACCTACACATGGCAGATCTGCCTGACCAGTGTGTCTAGTGGCATTGCCCGGCTTGCTCCTCCCTTAACCTCAGCTCTCTACGGCATGCCTCCCCACACCTGCCATCTGGACTTGTATACCCACAACAACGCTTCAGAATCTCGCCAGCAACTCACCCCACCTGCATCTGCATAGCTAAGGAGATGCTCTTTTTGGCTCCTACTCCAGTCATCAACATCCAGGCTGCCATCAATAAACTAAACAACAGCTATTTCCACTTTTCTTACCAGTCCTTTAAGAACAGATTTACACTCAAATACAGTACTAACTCAAAAACTTCCCTTTTAGACTCAGAGCTACAATTTTAATAGGCTATTAGAACAAATGAAATAAAAATTAGAGCCAGCTTTTTGTTGTTGTTGTTGAAATTAACATGCTGGCTCTAGATTTGATATGGAAATGCAAGAAACTAAATTAGCAAAAGAATTTTGAAATAACAACAAATTACGTGAGGAATTTACACAAGACTTACTACCGTAGAACTGGTAACCCAGTGCAGCACTTATATATGGACAGATAAACAAATCAAGAGAACAGAGGAGAGTCCAGGAATGAACCAGACACATGGTCAATGATTTCCAACAGAAGAACCAAATTAGCTCAACTGGGCAGGATACTGGGTATTTACATTTTATACATTGCTCACTCAAATATTCTTTTTCTTAGCAAAAAATTCCAGAGATAAAAATTCAGAAGGCACCAAGCAACACACAGAGGATCTTTCTGTCATCTCTGGCCCTGGGCACCCACCGCCCCACCTTATGCAATCATTGCTAGTTTGTGTCTTCTTACAACATTTTAGTTAATCATATCTGAGTAAATACACACATTCTTCAGCTCCTCATTTTATATAACCACTAGCATACTATAAACATTTCTATACTTTTGAGTTTTATACTTCAGAATCTTAAGAAGTATTCTCATTTAAATGCCACAAAAACGTCTCTCCCAGCCTTTGCAGCAACATAGCATCATTTCTGTCAGAACACACCAGGTGTTTAATAACATACCAGGTGTTTCCAAATGCTATACCACAACAAAAGAGTATTTTAAAACCAATTTCTAAGAAATATTGTGGGAAGGAAGAAAGTTCATGATGTTAGCAAGAAACAAAGTCAAGAACATCATAACCAACATTTTCATTCATAAATTGAACAGAATTAAGAATAAGAGTAATCAATATCAATGCAGCACCTTGTATAAAGTCAAAGTGCATACTGGCTATAAAACAAGTATCTTCCTGCTTCCTTTGGTCCACAGGGAGAAGGCCCACAGTCAACACCTTCTTACTTACCATTTAAGTGTTTACTAAGTGATAAGTAATTAAGCATTACATCAAATATTTGAATTAAAAACTGTCATACTAGATAAAAACGTAAGACTTAAAGGTCTTTCAAAAGCAAAACATACATTAACATTTCTTAAACACTCAATGAAAAACCTTTTTAAAAAATTAAATACATGCTAACAATTTATTTAAAATGTGACTACCAAATCTCTTGGAATGAAAATTGCCTTGTCTTGCTGCCTGATGAATACAAGTGTCAGCACTTCAATATATTAAAAAATAAAAACCTTTTTTATCCTACCTTAGCAGCTCTCACAGCTTTGATTTTCAGAAGCATATCAACGAAGGCCACTCTTACTTTCTCTGAATTGTCATGGAGACAGTATTTGAGTGGTGGTAAAAGCTGTTCTAGTAATGGGTGACTTAGTTTATTATCCAAAATTATCGGCAGACACTACAACAAAAGAGAAACAGTTCAAAATCAGAGTCTGCCAACAAAAAGGTCAGGTAAGAAATTTAAGAAAACAGTTTCATGTTTACAAAAACTATTGGTGAAATCACACAGCTACAGAAAATAGGTACACTTACCGTTCTGTAAATTTCCTAGTATTTATAATCAACAATTGATAATCATCCCATTCAGTGTTTTGTTCAAAAAAAATTAAAGCAGTTATAAGTAAATTGTAATGCTTTCTACTTGTTAACATTTAGAGTTTTTGAATTAAAAGAAACAGAGGGAAGACAGCATTGTGGTACAAGCATTGAATATTAGAGTGCCAGTTCAAGTCCGATTTCCAATCCAGCTCCCTGCTAATGTGCCTGGAAAAGTAATGGAAGTTGGCCCAAGCACTTGGACCCATATCATCCACCGGGAAGACCCAGATGGAGTTCTGGCTGTTGGGAAGAAAGCCAGCAGATGGAAGATCTTTCTTTCTCTTCCCCTCTCTCCCTCTTACACAGTCATGCTGCCTTTGCAAAAAGAATCAGAACTGCTAAAATAGACAACCACATCTTGACACCCAAGGATTTTTTTTTTCCATTTTTTAAAAGAATTCATAGATTCTCTGTATTTCCAGTTTGATGACCACGTTGCTTTAATCAGCACACTCACAGATGTGGTGCTCCAGACCAGCAAGCAACAAGAGGCTAGCTAATCTACTTAGGCTCAGATGAGCACCAGATTACACTTCCACACATTAGCTCCTTCTCCACTAGTTGTCAAGAATATGTAGAGTAATTTTTAAAAGAACTCTACGCAGTTCATATTCTGACATGCTGTGCTCAGGTGGCCCTTGAGAATTCATCTGCCCACACTGGCAGTCTCTAAGTCTCTATGCTACCCTGGTTCAGCCCACACTATCCCACAGCCAAATCTCATCCTGGCCACTACTGCACCGTGCTGCAGCACAGTGTTCTAACTTCTTCAGACACTGCCTGCTGACTCTTCTTCCACTAGCACACGGGTCTACCTTCATCTGTGAACCATCTAGCCAAGGCATTTTAGAGTGATCTTGCGAAGCATCCTGAGGTAAGAAATGATCCGACCGCAGTCAGGACATCTCTGACAGAGAGTGCACTGGAAAGATACAGCTGCTGGAATCAGAGCAGCAGGAAGAAGCAAGTCATCCTTAAGGAATGCCAGGGAGCAGGAAGGAAGAAGAGCACGCACAGTATCAATTCAGCAGATGCTACCACAGGCTGAGTATCCTATACTTAAGAAACAGAAGTGTTCTGGATTTCTAAATTCTTGATTTTGAAATATCTGCATAAAGATAATGAGAAATCTTGAGGGCTCTCAAGGCCAAATATGAAATTTACCTATGTTTCAAATATACCTTCTTCACATAACCAGAAGATAATCTACCGTACTTGTCTTACTATGCGTTAATTGCAACATGTCCTAGGAGGTCGGGTGTGAAGCTTTGACTGATGGTATCAAGCTACCACGCAAAAAGCTGCTGAGGGAGCTACTCTGGACTTTGAATTTTCAAAATAGGAATGCTCAAACTGTATAATACAAAAAGAAAAGGAGAAGAAATGAAGGGGAAAGAGGGAACAATCCTGGACCCAGCGTGATGGCTTAGTGGCTAATCTTCATTTTGCACACTGGGATCCCATATAGATGCTGCTTTGTGTCCCAGCTGCTCCGCTTCCAATCCAGCTCCCTGCTGCTGGCCTCGGAAAGCAGCAGAGGAAGGCCCAAAGCCTTGAGACCCTGCATTCACATGGGAGACCCAGAAGCTCCCAGCTTTAAACTGGCTCAGCTCTAAGACTTGAGGCCATTGGAGAGTGAACCAGCAGATGGAAGAGCTTTCTCTGTCTCTGTAAATCTAATCTGTGTTTCTGTAAAAATAAATCTTCAGGAAAAACAAAAAAATCCTCTTGGGTACAAGTGGGTTGGAAAAGACAAGAAACTCGGTTTTGGAGATAAGAGAGTTACTGTGAAGTACTCCAAGGCTTCTCATCAGAAATGAAGTGCCCGCCCACCGCAGGCATCTGCTGCAAGAACTGGTCCTCAGCTGTCAGTGCACTCATCGCCTTCCCAGGCAGCCAGCGCACACAGGGTCTGAAGTTCTGTCCTTCAGTCCAGCAGAGCTGCAGTGCGAGGGGCTCTGCCAGCTTCAGAGCTGCCTGAAGGTTTGCAAGAGGTTTCTGCAGGCTGTCACTTCCACGAGTGTACCCCAGGAACAGCTTCCTAACCTACATTCTGCACAACCATCTCTATCTCTGGGCTACCTGGCTGGTGATCCAAGCAGACATTCTCTACACACTGAGATCAGCTATACACAGGCTGCAGCTAGAGCAAAGGCTAGAAAACTGACATCCCAGGGAAACCTACCAGGTTCACAAGCACTTTCAGAACTCTGCCTTTGGTCAACATTTAATGCCCCAAAGCAGTCAAAACAAAAATCAAAGACAAGGGACATGAAGAGGAGGAGAGAAAAATGAAGGTTTACAACAATATCTTAAAGGAAAAGACCTGGTCCAGGGGTCAAACTCAGCTCAGTGAACAAAAAAGGACAGTTAAAAAAAAAAATTAACCCAGATAGTTGAGTTTGGGGAAGGAAAATGACATCATTTCTTAGCTGGCTAATCTGACACCCTTCACAGTTTTCCTGAAATAGACTGAAAGCCTTACAGATCCTCCGGACTCAGCTTCAGAGAACATCAGTTACTGCAGCCTGGGAACCTCTTGCCTGGCTTACACCCACAAACACCCTTTTCTCACTTTACCACCAAAGTCCACAGAAGAGAACCAATGTTTACCATATCATCAACTAACACATGCATTAGTTTCTATCAATCTGCAACAACTTTATTCAGGTTGCTAAGATTCTATAATAAACAAAGATGGCTTACATAATTTAAAAAAACACAAACAGTAGTGATCGGCCAAGTGGTTAAGATAGTCAGTTCTCACATTAAAGTGTTGGGTTGAAAACCCAGCACTACTTGATTCCAGCTTCTTGCCAGTGCAGTCCTGGCTCAAGTAATTAGGTCACTGCTAATACACAGGATACCTGCATTGCATTCCCAGTTCCGGGCTCTAGTCCCTACCGCTGCAGGCATTTACAGAATGAAGCAATGGACACAAACTATTTCTCTGTATTTCTTTGTATTTTTCTGTTTCTCAAATAAAATACAAAACATTTTTTTTTTATTATTTTACCTTAAAGACAGAACAACGGACATCAGCGGAGCTTGTATCAAACGCCAGCTCTCCAGTTACTTTCTTCAGGAGATCAATAAGAATGGTTGGGGGCATCATCTCCCAGTATTTGGAAGCTATTTTACAAACTCCAAGGATTCCTGTGGAACGGACCATCGGATAAGGATCTTCTAAAAGGCTCTATAAGTAGGAGGGGGGGACAAACCTTAGAAATCTTAAATTAGTTCCGTTTATATCACTATTTGCTTTATACATTAGCATTCTGAAGTTTCACCGTTTAAGAAAACATATAGTTACAGAAATATTGATCACATAGATTCCTATCTCAGATGAGTTATCATTCCCAAAAGAGATTATTTTAAAAGAACAGTTTGGAAACATGAATTGCCTATCTACAGGACTTTAGTGACATAAGGGCCTAATTGTACCAGCTACCTCAATCACTGGGACTTTGAGAAGTACTGTTGACTACAGTAAAAACTGACATCAGACACAGCCTTTGTGGACTATTCGCTTGAATTCTCCAATATTATAACACAGAGAAACGAGAGTAAAATCATTCCACTTGTCAGGGCAGCACTGTGGAGCAGCCGGTTAAGCGGCTGCCTACAACACAGCATCCTATATAAACACCAGTATGAAGCTGAGCTGCTCCACTTCCAATTCAGCTTCTTGCAATGCACCTGCGAAAGCAGCTGACTATAACCCATTGCCTGAGCCCCTGCCACCCACTTGGGCGAACCAGATGTACTTAAGGCTTCTGGCTTCATCCTGGCTCAACCCCAACCAAGGCAGCCATTTGGAAAGAGAATCAGTGGATGGCAGATCAATCTCTCTCTGTTTCTCCCTCTCTATAACTCTGGCTTTCAGATGAATAGATCTTAAAAAAATGACAATAATAATCTACTTTAAATGAAGTAATCAAGCCATAGCTGTCAATAGTTACTAGTAATTCCAAAAGAAATAATGAAACATTATGTACCAGAGATAGAAATAACACTGAAAAAAAAAAAGAAAAGAAAAAATAAATAAATGACATTGCCTGAAAATTTCATGTAACAAATAAAACCTCATAAAAACAGGCACCTGATCAAGTCTCCCTACTGATTTACAGGAAACACAAAAAGTTAGAGCAATATATTAAAAGCATGGAAAGAACAGACTGTAGGAAAGTCAATATAATTTGACTTCTTCAACAACAAAAATATCATAAAATAAAGATGAGGCTGGAAATGGGACACAGTTCCAGCATCCCAAACGGATGTAACTTCAAGTCCCAGCTTGTTCTACTTTCTATCCACGTCCCTGCTAATGCACCGGGAAAAGCAGCTGAAGATGGTGCAACTACCCAAGACTGCCACCCAGACAGGAGACCTGAATGTGGAATTCTACGTCCTTAGTTCAGACTGACCCAGCCCCAGCTACTGCAGCCATGTGGGAGTAAACCAGATGAAAACTTGATCTCTTTCTCCCTATCACTATGTTTACTTTACTTTGCAAGCTAGAAAAATAAAAACTGAGGCTGACACTGTGATGCGGCAGGCTAAACCACAGCCTGTAATGCCAGCATCCTGTGAGTGCCGGTTCAAATGCCAGCTGTTCCACTTCTAATCCAGCTCTCTGCTAATGCATGTGAGATATCATTGGAAGACACGTGGGAAACCTGGATGGAATTATCTGGCTTTGGTTTGGCCCAAACCTGCTACCACGGCCACTGGGGAATAAACAGCGAATGTACGATCTCGCCCTCTCTCTGTAACTGTTGCTTTCAAACAAGGTTGAAAAAACAAAGCTTTTTAAAAAAATAAACAATAGTAAAGAAAACCCACATTCATTAATTTGCATTTAGATGCCTAGGCATCAACCATCGTCACAAAAAACTATCATCCCACATGCCTAACTCTGTGATCAGCTTGACTCATCTCTAGAAACTTAGCTGAATTTCTAGTACACAATATGTAAAATTCATCCATGTAGTCCTGGTATTATTAGACTACCATATAACTGTAAGTAATTTTAATGTTCCCATTACATGTTAGCAACTAGTAATTTATCTAAGTACTTGATAGTTTATTTTTTACTTAAATTTCGTTATAATATACTATTCCCAGTTTTAAACCAGCAACAGAACTAGAAACAAATTAAGTGGTTAGGTAAGACCACACTAAGAGACAAATAAATAAATAAATTCAAATAAAGGTACTTAATCCCTTGTCACTGTGCTCCACAGCTTCCATCCAAGCAGCTAAAGTGCTTGGCAAGTCATTTCTAATTCCCTAGTTAGCTGTCCAGATCAGGAACAGCGAGCATGAATACCACACAGGAGCCAAGCATGGGATAAAAACGAAATGAATAAAGCTTCAGAGAACACCAGAAGAAGGAAAGGTGGCTAGATTAACAATGCATCCCAATGTAAACACTTGAGGAAAACCAAAAGGGGTTTTCAACAGTTTGACAACTCAGTATAAAATCACGACTGCTAAAAATTAGCCAAAATCTAACTTGTTGTGCAAGTTTATTTCAGGAAACTGAATCATGGTCACTAAGAGGAATTCTGGGCAGATATATATGTGGATGACGTCCAACAGCAGAGCACCAATGACTCTTCATTTGAGATGAGTCCATGCACGTGTTACATTTTTAGAAATATAATTCAGTTCTGTGCATGTCTGAGGTTTTCTAAAATCAGAAAACAAAAAATGGAGCAGCATGGAAAACACTGACAGCATTTTCACCATTACTGTTTTCCTAACTTTTATCCTAACTAGTAAAATAAATAATATTTACCAAACTTCTATTAGAAAAATGCTACAAATAAGAGGGAATACAGAGAAATAAGAAGCTAGCTAGCACTCTCCCAGCAAGATGAAAAAGATCTATACTACCCCCTGGAAACAAGCACTTGACCTTAGAAGTACTAACACCTCACTTGAACAAATCAGCTCTATTATCTGTAGGTGTGACCTGGGACAAAGCCAGTGTTTGCTAATTCATACCAACCAACAGCATTACAGTAGGCAGTATCATAATCCCTATTTACAAAGGCACAGGAAGTATAGTTACTTGCTCAACACCTCACAGCTATTAAGAAAGGTGTACTCAACCCCCCGGGCCCTGACATCAGAGCACATACCTCACCATTATGACACCACCTCTCACCTGGGAAGATGAGGGGTGTGCACGTAAAATGCTGAAAATTGCATTGAAAATAATGAGTACCTATATATCCCAAGAGTGACTGAGAGACGAAAGGGACACCACGGTGCACACTGCTGCAGAAGGCCCTGGGGAGAGTGGACACTCCTCGGAAGGCCTAGTGGCAGGGCACGGTCAGGCATTCCTTACCATGCCAGTCCTAAGTAAGTACTTCAAGCCTGTAAAAGCCAAAGTCTGTAAGAAGTTAAATACATGAAATACATACATAGAGTTCTTCAAATTGCCTCTGAATTTCACTGTCCATTTCAGCAGCAAGAAAGTTTGGATCCCGAATAGGAAATGCTTCAACAAACAACAAGGCAGCATTCGATCGAACTTCAGAGTTTCTGGCCTACAACACAAGAGTACTTCAGAATCCCAAACACATAACATACAGTATTCACAGACAATACTTCTATTATCCCAAAGTATTTATTTACAAACTAAAAACAAACCTTTTAGTTGACCACACTTCTATTAAGACCTTTCTTAAATTAAGGTGAGCAGTGAAATGTCAGTAGACATTAAAAGATCCTCTTCCTCACCTCAGAGCCTACCTTGTGGCACTAGGAAATGGTCACCATCGTGCCCCGTGACCCCACAGCTAAGTGTGCACATTCATCAGGACATGCCATTTGTGAAGAGTGTCTGCCTGCTGTCCAACCACCAGCATGAGGACATGAGGACCTGGATGGACTAGCCCAGCTTGGCAGGCTCCTGGCGCCACAATTCATTTTAGGGCCTGTCACTTCCCCAGCATGGTTACTTTAAAATAATTGTGCAATAGTTACCCCTAAAATAATAGAGACTTCAAATTAAATGGACCCCAAAAATGCTTTTAATAAAATAAAACACTTTGTTCTAAAATTTCATAAAGCAATCAGACTGCAGTCTGATTTCTACTGCTTTATTACAATTTTAACATACAGCATGCTAAATTCAAAAGCATCACTACATTCTAAATATGGATAAACTATGTAAATGTATACCTTTAATCCTCTCCAAAGGATGGGTTTATATAACCTATAAAGCATCTCTTCCACTCCCTGCCGAATTTTTTTTTGATGGTGAAAGTAACTCAGTATCTGTGGACCAAGAAAAAGCAAGAAAGGCAATGATATATATTCTCCTTAAAGAAAAAAAACAAAAGCATCAGAAGATATCAAGCAAGTGAGTTCGCTTGGAATTTGATTTCACGTAGTCATGAAGAATGGCACCATGTCCATCTGCACAGAACTTTAATACCTTGTTTCTCAGGTTAAGGGCGTACTCTCAGACACCCACAGTCGTAACATTCTAACAATGGAAACTGGAAAGCAATGAACAGTGATTCACGGGAGACTTAGGGCCAAAATAAAGCCCAGAGCTTTTGTGATGTAACACGGTTTCAGTCTCCACTATGTTAACAGTAGCCACATCATCTCAAAAAATAGTCATTTAAACCTCTAACCTTCAAGGTAAAACAGGAACACTCCATTCAAGATCATGAATCGTTCTAACTCTAAAGTGCTCTCTTCCGCAGATCACCAGTGATGACTCACGGCACAAACTAACTGAGGTATCAAGTTTCTTCCAAAACTTCAGAACACTCAGAAGGCACGAGCTGGTGCTTTGGTACGACAGCTCACGCTGCGATCTGCACACCTGCACCCCATTCTGAGCTGCCTGGGGCTGAATGCTGGCTCCACTTCCAATACAACAGGTTGTATTGGAACAGCCAATACATTAAGTTTCTATTAAGTTTACCATAAGAGAATGGCAATTTAGGAATTATTTTTCCTGTAAATTATTTAGGAGTTTTCATTGACAGTGATAAATGACCTCAGCTTATAGTTTGCTTTTCATCATAACCAACCTCAGTGCTTAAGAAAATAAAAAGATATATTTGTTATATTTGTTATTTGAAAGGCAGAGATTACAGAAAGAGGGAAAAACAGAGAGGTCGTCCATCTTCACGCCCCAAATAACTACATCTGCCAGAGCTGAGCCAGTCTGAAGCCAGGATGCAGGAGCCAGGAGCATCTTCTGGGTTTCCCATGTAGGTGCACGAACCCAACCGCTTGGCCCATCCTCAGCTGTTTACCCAGGCACACTGGCAGCCGGGATGAGAATTGGGGCACTATGGGATAGCAGCACCACAGCCACTGGTCCCTCAATGTGTATTAATGGCATAAACACTTCATAGAAAGTTTTCTAAAGCTTTGAAAAATGATTTGTAAAACCATAAAATCAACTCTTGAAGAATACAACTCGGGCCAGTGCAGTGGTTAAATGCTTAATCCTCCACCTGCAAGTGCAGACACTCCATAAGGGCGCCAATTCGCGTCCTGGCTGCTCCACTTCCCACCCAGCACCCTCCTTGTGGCCTGGGAAAGCAGTGGAGGATAAGCCAAGTCCTGAGGACCCTGCACCCACATGGGAGACTCAGAAGAAGCTCAAGGTTCCTGGCTTTGAATCCATTCAGCTTCAGCTTTTGTGGCCATTTAGGGAATGAATCAGCAGATGGAAGATCTTTTTGTCTCTCCTTCTCTCTGTAAATCTGCCTTTCCAACAAAAATAAGCAAATCTTTAAAAAAAAATACAACTCAGTTATTTTTTATCTACTCAGAGTTGTGTGTATACTCATTACTAATTCTAGAACGTTTCCTTCAACAATATGGGTATTACTACTTTTTAAAAAAGATTTATTCATTTTTATTGGAACAGATATACAAAGAGATATACAAACAGATACACAAAGAGGAGAGTAAGAGAGGAAGATCTTCCATCCAATGATTCACTCCCCAAGCAAACGCAACGACTGGAGCCGAGCTAATCCAAAGCCAGGAGCCAGGAGCTTCCTCCAGGTTTCCCACACGGTTGCAGGGGCCTAAGGCTTTGGGCCATCCTCGACTGCTTTCCCAGGCCACAAGCAGCGAGCTGGATGGGAAGTGGGGCTGCTGGGATTAGAACCGGCGCGTATATGGGATCCCAGTGCATTCAAGGCAAGGACTTTAACGCTATCGTGCCGTGCCCATGGGTATTATTACTTTCACAGAGTCTGAAATACTTCATGAAGCTTCTTGAAACATATTAATAACTTATCAAATAGATTTGACATTTATCAAACAAAAGATCTGAGGAGGAAGCAATAAGGTGAGTAATCACTGAGGAATACAATTCCTTAGGATAAGCATTCGGCCTAGCGATACAAGCACTGGATAGAATGTCCGTGTCCCACCTAGAAATGGTTAGGTTCACTCTTCGGCATCAGTTCCTTGCCCACATGGACCCTAGGAGGCAGCAGCTCAAGTGACTGAGCACCTGCCACTCATGGGGGAGACCAGGACTGAGTCTCTAACTGTGGCCCAGCTCAGTCCTGGCTGTTGCAGCCATTTAGGGAGTGAACCAGTGGATGAAAGCGGTCTTTCTCTGTTCCTCAAATAAAATAATAACAACTATATCAGCAAAACCTTCAAATGCAGTCAGATTTTACCTGAACAGTGAAGTCAAAAAATAAAAAGTGAAATTTACCATTTTCCTTTTAGTTTTTTTTGCCATTTTCCCCATAAATTTACTAAGCAGTAATAGTTATTCTTACAACATTACTCAAAATAACATAGCAGAAAATAAGATATTGAAAAACGTCATTTGGTATCAAAAATGAAGCAACTATGCCAAATTTTCCATGTAGTTTAACAGGATCTATTTTTTCTTATTTCTAAATGGAATTTGAACACCAAATCATGTATGTGAAATAATGACCCAACTGCCCTAAGATTTAATAAAGCTACAATGGGATTGTGGGTGGAAGATTTAATAAATTCAAGAATACATTTATCCTACATTTTTCAAAATCACAATTACTCTATGTGGAATTCTATGCAAGTTGATTCCAGAATTTTCCCAAGTGTACATTTCTTCGCTTGCAATTTTTACATATCCAAAGACAGAAAAATACAGACACACCATTGTAGGATGCCAAAATCCCATCTTAAAAAACATACTGACTCATGGGGCAAAACGCTGCAGGCTGTATGTGCTACCTAACAGAAGAAGATGGAAGATGCCTACAAGAAGCAATTCTCCAATACATAAAGAACAACGTGCACCAGCCACGGTGGGGGAGATGCATATGAAAGGCCACGCGGCTATATGGGAATCCAGTGTATGAGCAGTCCGGGAGAGGTGAAGGAGAGGTGGAACCGTCCCCAAACGCCTCTTCCCCAGAAGAAAGACCAGAAGCCCAAAAGAAGGCAAGCACAAGAGGCAGGTTGTTGAGAGCTATCAAACATTTCCTATGAAGACTTTCCTGATAATGATAATAAACTTACTGACACAATAACAAACATATCTATATCTATGTATAGATATATATACATATATATATATCTATATAGAGAGAAACGGTTATTTCAAAGGCAGTTACAGTCAAAGGTAGATCCATCCTCCATCATTTCCCAGATGCCTACAGCAGCCAGGACTGGGTCAGGTAGGAACCAGGAACCCAAAGCTTCATCTAGGTCTCCCATGTGGGTGGCAGAACCCCAAACATTCCAGCCACCTTCCACTGCTTCCCCTGATGCATTAATAAAGATCTCGATAAAAGTGGAGCAGCCAGAACCCAAAGCAGCAGAAACCTAAACCGAAACTTCTATGGGATGCTGGTGCTTTAAAAAAAAAAAAAAAAAGAAGGCAGCAGTGGCTTAGCTCACTGTGGCACAATGCTAGCAGGTCCCAAAATCACCATTTTAAGTCCCATGTAAGCTCAGTGGTCTAGATAAATCTCTAGGTTCTTCACCATTAGGTAACATAAACCAAGTCATCTATAATATTAGAAAAATGCCTTCTTATCCAAAATTAATAATTAGTCATGAGTTCTTACATACTATAGCTAACAGTAATTCTACCAGAGAGAAATAAGGACATATTCTTTCTTCAGTTAGCTTCTTGACACATGCTTGCTAAAACTCAGCAAGCAAACAAGGCTTCCCATGGATCAGGCTGCTGTGCCAAAGCATCTGCTTAATTGAACCAAGCACACCCAGCTGACCTGCCAGGACCACCAGGATCAATCAAACACCAATCAGTGCCAAGATGACAATGTTGACAGAGTCTTGTTTAATCAAACCATTTACAAATAATAAAATTCATTATCTTTTAAAAACAGAATATCCTATTAAGAAAAACCATCAAAACATGTATTCCATCTGGTTTCCAAAACAGCAAACCAGGATTTTAACATACATAAGCCATTATATCACACAATTTCAAGGGCCAGCTTTGTGGCACAGCAAGTGAAACTGTTGCATGCAATACTGTCAGCTATCTGAGGGCAGGCTCTAGTCCCAGTTGCTCTACTTTCACTGAGCTCTCTGCTAACATACATGAGACAGCATCAGATGACCCAAGTGCTCGAGTCCCTGCCACCTTGTGGGACACCAGGATGGATGTTCAAGCTCCTACTTTTGGCCTTTGGCCTGGCCAAAGGTTATTACAGCCATCTGGGGAACTAGCCACTGCCTGCAATACCAGTACTGCATATCAGTGCCAGTCCATGTCTCAACAAGGCAGCAGACGATGGCCCAAGTGCTCATGTCCCAACAGCCAATGGTAGCGACCTGGATGAAGCACCTTGGCTCTTGATTTCAGCCTGGCCCACTCCTGGCTGTTGCAGTCATCTAGGGAGTGAAACAATAGATGGAAAATGGAAAATCTGGGGCCCAGTCCGGTGGCCTACCGGCTAAAAGTCCTCGCCTTGAACGCACGAGGATCCCATATAGGCGCCGGTTCTAATCCCAGCGGCCCCGCTTCCCATCCAGCTCCCTGCTTGTGGTCTAGGAAAGCAGTTGAAGAAGGCCCAATGCCCTGGGACCCTGCACCCACATGGGAGATCTGGAAGAAGCTCCTGGCTCCTGGCTTCAGATTAGCTCAGCTCCGGCTGTTGTGGTCACCTGGGGAGTGAATCATCAGATGGAAGATCTTCCTCTCTGACTCTCCTCTTCTCTGTATATCTGACTTTGCAATAAAAATAAATCTTTAAAAATAAAAATGTTTCTCTTTTTCCAAGCTCTGACTTTCAAATAGATAAATCTTAAGAATAATCTAAAGAGAAAAACAATGAGACATCATTTCAAACACAATTTAACAACCCATTTTGGTTAAAGGTGTGTTGCTCACCTCTCGTACTGTGGAGTGCACTGGAGACTTCCTGGGAAGGTGGACCCCGTGGAACATGAAGTCCTGGATGCAATCATTCTCAATGGCCTGAAACAACAAGTACAATGTAGAGAACCTGCTGTGTGTACCTGAGTCCACACACCAGGCAATGTTACAATGTACAAGGACCTGAAGCTTCACCTTTGTATTTCATGAGGAAAAAAAAATCTAGAACCTTTCATCAGAGTTCTTTTGCTTTTTTTTTTAAAGATTTATTTATTTTTACTGGAAAGGCAGATTTCCAGAGAGGAGAGACAGAAAAGATCTTCCGTCAGATGAGTTACTCCCCAAACAGCCTCAATGGCCAGAGCTGAGCCAATCTCAACAAGGAGCCAGAAACTTCTTCTGGGTCTCCCATGTGGATGCAGGATCCCAAGGACCTGGGTCATCCCCCAGTGCTTTCCCAGGCCACAAGCAGGGGCTGGATGGGAAGTGGAGCAGCTGGGACATACAAAGACCCATATGCGATGTCAGCACTTGCAGGTTAAAGATCAGTCAGTTGAACCATCATGCCGGGCCCACTTTCATCCATCTTTAAGAGTGACTGAGAGATCTGTTTTCCATCTGCTGGTTAGCTCTCCACCTGCACCCAAGAGCCTAGAACTCCATCTGGGTTTCCCTTGCGGGTAGCAGGGACCTGAGCACATGAGCCGTCATCTGCCATCCTTTTTATGCACTATTAGGGATGCCTGTGCCTAAAGGTGGAAGATTAGCATGCTGAACCATAGTGCCAGCCCCTCTTATCTGCTGCAAGTACCCACATGGGAGGCCACTACTCATGGGTGGGAAGATTAGCCAACTGAGCCATCGCACCAGCCCTCACAAGAGCTTTCTTAATTTAAAGCTATATATCTTAGAATGCTCATCTGTGCCCCATGGCAAGGGAAGCCCCCCACTCAAGGGCAGTTCAAACCACAGAGCTCAGACCCCAGCAGGTCCTAAGTTGCAGCAGTCCCTCTTCTGAGTCATCACTGGCCTAGGCAACTTTCAGAGGCCTGGGTCTATTCAGAACAAAAATGAAACTACCTCTGGAGTGGAAGCTGGTATTTCAAACTCAGAGAAATAAGATCTTTCTGGACTATTTTGAATCAGGGTAAAAAGAGACGGGAGTAAAAACATATTAGCTCAGTGCAAACAAAGCCTTAGGGAGAGGCCACTGAGGAAGGCCAAGCCTCCAAGGGCAGCCAGAACCATTTGCTATGTTACTGAAACAAGCGTGCTCATTACCAGTACTGATATTATACCATCTACTCAAATAATTATTTTTAATTACAAACCTCCCTTTAAAAAATACTATCAGAGAAAGGGGAACAAAACAGTTCAGAATATTCCTTCCTAAGAACAAGTTTTATGGGGCTGGTGTGATGGCGTGGCTAGTTAGTCTGCAGTATGGGATGCCCACATTTCATTTCAGAGTACCTGACCAACCAGCATCCCACCAGTGCACAAGGAAGGCAGATAATGGCTCACATGCGCAGGTCCCCTGCTACCTGCAAGGGAAACCCAGATGGAGTTCTAGGCTCTTGGGTGCAGGTGGAGAGCTAACCAGCAGATGGAAAACAGATCTCTTGGTCACTCTTAAGATGGATGAAAGTGGGCCCGGCATGATGGTTCAACTGACTGATCTTTAACCTGCAAGTGCTGGCAACTATATGAGCACAGATTTGTATTGTGGCTGTTCCAATTCCTATCCAGCCCCTGCTTGTGGCGTGAGAATATAAGGGAGGATGGCCTAAAGCCTGGGGATCCACATGGGAGACCCAGAAGCAATTCCTGGTTTTGGATCAGCTCAACTCCAATCTTTGCAGCCATTTGGGGAATGAACCAAGGGATGGAAAATCTTTATGTCTCTCCTCTAGAATGTGCCTTTCCAAAAAAATTTAAAAATAAGTAAAATAAAAGTTGTCAGCCTAACTTTGTTTCTTGGAAGCAGAAATCAACGATAAATCCTGAGACGGAAGGAGCTGACAAACACCAGTAACACAGGCTCTGCCCACAGGGACCTCTCATTCCCCCCCAAGGGATGACTGTGCTCCAAAGAAGAAACAAAAGCAGGCTGGAAAACACTCACCAAGCCCCTTTCAGACTCGGAATAAAAGATGCATTTGAGAAAAACATAAAGAATAGCAGACAAACGTACTTTTATTTTTGTCCAAAGGGATCTTTAGGTATTTATTTGGGACTGTGAACACAGCCATGCATTCCTAACATAATCATTAAAGGTTAGCCTAATTCAAAGTATTACTCTCCAAATCCAGCAAAAATAGAATGCAAGCCAAAACTTCAATATTTATTTATTTTATTTGGAAGTCAGAAATATACGAAGGAAGAGAGACAGAGAAACATCTTCCTTTTGCTGGTATCCTCCCCAAATTGTTGCCATGGTTGAGAGCTGTGCCTGTGCTAAGGCGGGAGCCAGGAGCTTCTTCTAGGTCTCCCACAAGGATCTCAGCACTTGTGCCATCCTTTGCTGTTTCCCCAGGCCATTAGCAGGCAGCTGGATCAGAAGTGGAACAGCTAAGACACAAACCAGCTGCACAGATGACATGCATCAGGCAGGGGATTAGGCTGCAGCATCACTGTTCCCACCTTCCAAAATCCAACCAAAAATTTCTAATAGCCACACAGAAAAAGGCAAAAAGATGGGCCCAGTGCGGCAGCCTAGCACCTAAAGTCCTCACCTTGCATGTGCTTGCATCCCACATGGGTGCTGGTTTGTGTCCTGGCTATCATACTTCCCATCCAGCTCCTATCTGTGGCCTGGGAAAACAGTAGAGGACGGCCCAAAGCCTTAGGACCATGGACCCACACGAGAGACCCAGAAGAAGCTCCTGGCTTCGGATCAGCTCTGTTACAGCCATTTGGGGAGTGAGTCAGTGGACAGATCTTTTTCTCTGTAAATCCGCCTTTCCAATAAATATAAACACATCAAGGGGGAAAAAAAGAGAGAGAGAGAGTAAAGGGACCAGGGTGTGGCATAGCTCATTAAGCCACTTCCTGGAGTGTTGGTATCCCATCGAAATCTCCTAATTCAGAAAGGGGGCTACCTCCTGGCTTCAGCCTGGCCCAGCTCCAGGAAGCTATAGCCCTTCAGGGAGTGGATCAGCAGATGGAGGAACTCTCTTGCTCGCTCTCTCGCCCTTTCCCTAACTCTGTCCTCCAAATAAATAATTTAAAAAAGAAAAAGAAAAAACAGATAAACCTATTTAAATACCATTTAGATCAATATATCCAAGACACTATCACTTCAACCTATAATCAGTTTCTGGTAAGTGAACTGTCTTCCCCCAAACTGCCCATGCCAATGAGTGACACGTCCCTCAAAGACTGTGCTTTGGTACATGATTAGCACAAATGACAGCCAGAACTATGAATTTCAATCACAGAGATTTTCATTTTTGGCTTTAATACTTCCTTGACTACTTATTTTGTAACCAGAATACAATAAAGCATTAGTATTTTTAAAAAATGAGAATACCTCCAATATTTTCCCTGAAGCCTTTCTCCAAGCTCTGAAGTAAATTTCTGCAATGTGTACCATCAAAGATCTATAAAAAAAAGAGAATATTTTAATGGAATTATTAAAAAATTCCTAATTGCAACATGCTTTATTTGTCAGTGAAGAAGAAACTGTTAAGACGCAATGTAATAAAAAAAAAATAAAATGAAATTAAAAAAAGACGAGGGATTTCCAAATTAGCTGCAAAAAAAGCAAACATCTGGAGATGAGAAAGCAAAGTAACTACATTTCTTCCACTTTTAGTCATAGCCTCTCCAGAACTTTCCATTATTTTCTCTGAAACTTGAGGTCAAGCAGATTCTTAAGTCAGGAGCTTTAAAAAGGCATGGGTTTGTAGGCACCTGCACTCCATGCTACAGTGCTGCTTTGGGTCCTGGCCACTCTGTTCATGTACCCGGTGGCAGCAAACAATGGCCCAGATGCTTGGGCTCCTGCCACACCTGTGGACAGCCTGACTTCCGGTTCCTCGTTTCTGCCTGGACCAGCCTGTATGTTGTATGTAAGGGGTAGAGTGACATGGTGGATAATATATATCTCTTTCTACTATATAAAAAATGTTTGGTACAAATACATTTTGATTTGGAGTTATTTTAGATTTTCTAGGCTACTAAGTCTTCAAATACAGGAAACTCCTTAATATACCAGAATCAACAAGAATCATGAAAGTTTAGAATTTTGCTAGTTCAACCAGGACTAGAATGCTCCACTCTGGCACCTCTAGAGATCCTTACACGACAGGGCTGTTTCTAATAGCATGCAAGTTAGTCCATTTACAGCCAAAATATTACCAAAAACACTGGTGATATAGATTTTATTAAGAGGGAGGTTACAATTTAACTGGCAAATATGACTATATAAAGATCTAACAGAAATTTAAAAATCTAACTTCAATGGTCAGTACTGAAAAACAAAATCACTATAAGAAAAAAAAACTAATGATACAATAGCATGTAAAATAAATAAGACAATTTCTAAAGCTTCCTACACAATAATACAAGCAAGGATACACATAAAAAATTCATAAGAATGAATTAAGATTGGCTTGGCATAAAACTTTCCAAAAATGTGAAAAATGCTTGAAAAAAAAGTGCATGGATTTTGAAGTTGCATTTCTGCCTCAAAATGAACCGGCAGTTTTGGAGCAGGCATTTGGCCTTGAGGTCAAGATGCCAGTTCAGGGGCTCGAGCTCCACACTCAGTGCCAGGATATATGTGCCAGCTCCACTCCTGACTCCAGCTTTCTGCTGATGCAAACCCCAGGAGATAGCCCACGACGTCACCGGTAATTGGGAGACTTGGACTGAGCTCCAGCTTCCACCTCCAGCCTGATCCAGTCCAAATAATCACAGACATTAGGAAGCATGTACTAGCAAACAGCACAGCAGGAATACAGGCTGGTACAGCCACTATGGAAGTTGGTATAGAGAACACTCAAGCAGGCAACTGAAAATTCAGCTACCATATGACCTAGCTATTCCACTTTGGGAATACATTCAAAGAGCCTAATACATAAGAAAGCAACACGCATCAATGTATTCACAATTGCAGAAACTTGGAAATAATCTAGATGCCCACTGACAGAAGACTGGATAAAGAAACTGTGGCTTATGTATTCTATGGAGTACTACTCAGCTATTAAAAAGAATGGGCCTGGCGGTGTGGTGTAGCAGCTAAAGTCCTCCCCTTGAACGCCCTGGGACCCCATATGGGCGCCGGTTCTAATCCCAGCAGCCCCGCTTCCCATCCAGCTCCCTGCTTGTGGCCTGGGAAAGCAGTCAAGGATGACCCAAAGCTTTGGGACTCTGCACCCACATGGGATACCTGCAAGAAGCTCCTGGCTTCTGATCGGCTCAGCTCTAGCCACTGTGGCCACTTGGAGTGAACCAGAGAACAGAATATCGCTGCGTATCTCCTTCTCTCTATATATCTGCCTTTCCAATAAAAATTTAAAAATAGATAAATAGATAAATCTTAAAAAAAATGAAAGGAAGAGTCCATTTGTAGTTTATTTTCATTTTTTATCAACTTTTTAAAATGTTGATTTATTTGAAAGGTTTAGCAACAGTCCTTCCAGCTGCTGCATTGCTCCTTAACGCTGGTGACAGCTGAGGCTAGCCAGAACCAGGAGCCTGGAATGGCCTGTGCCTACTGCTGCCCAGGCACAGACAGGAAAGTGCATCAGAAGTAAGCAGGCACTCCTCGGGGCACCTAGACATGGGAGGTGGGCATCCTAGGCTGCAGTTTAACCTGCCGTATCTGTGACCTTTCTGCAGTACTCTCACACAACCTTCCAACAATCAAGTCAAAACCACATTAACAAGGTACAAAATTTTTAATTACCTCTAATACTTACTTCTGTAATCCCTGCAACTGGTTTTTAATGGTCTCATGGATCATTTTAACAAATTTCACATTCCAGTTGAAGAGAGAACTAAGAAATCGTCGTCCCTATAAATAAAAAAACAGTAATAAGATATAATTTTTAGATTGCAAACAAACAAAAAATTCCCAGTAACAATCAGTCTGGTGGGGATTCAATACTGTGAAGGCTAGCCATTTCTGAAAACAATAACTTAGAACACGTGCACTCTCTGAGGTCAGGCAGCATGTACCCGGAGCGCCTCTGTCCTGGGAGCTTTGGGAGAGAGACACTGCTTCAAAATATTTGTGCAAAATAGAAATGAAACACATTTTAAAATAAAACAACTTAGAGGGGCTCAGGCAATAGCTCAATTGGCTACTCCACCACTTGCAAGTGTCAGATCCCAAACTGGTGCCGATTCATAGCCTGGATGCCCCACTTCCCATCCAGCTCCCTACTTGTAGCCTGGGAACACAGTAGAGGATGGTCCTGCATCAGGGTGGGAGACCTAGAAGAAGCTCCTGGCTTCAGATAAGCTCATGTCCAGCACTGGGGCCGTTTGAGGAGTGCCAGGGCATGGCAGATCTCTCTAAGTCTCCTCTCTCTGTAAATCATACTAATACAAACAAACAAATCTAAAAAAATTGTTTTGAAATTCAGGGATAGTTTTTTCATAGTATCAATTGTTCATGAATTCTTTGAAGACCCCTCATTTATAAGTTTCAATATATATTATGGGCCCAGCGCAGTGGCCTAGCAGCTAAAGTCCTTGCCTTGCACGTGCCAGGATCCTATGCAGGCGCCATTTCTAATTTCAGCAGCCCTGCTTCCCATCTAGCTCCCTGCTTCTTGCCTGAGAAAGCAGTCAAAGATGGCCCAAAGCGTTGGGACCCTGCACCTGTGTGTGAGACCTGGAGGAAGCTCCTGGCTCCTGGCTTCGGATTGGCTCAGCTCTGGCTGTTGCGGTCACTTGGGGAGTGAACGATTGGACAGATGATCTTCCTCTCTGTATATCTGACTTCCCAATAAAAATTAAGAAATCTTAAAAAAAATATTTTACACCAAAATCATCTTTTAAACCCTACTTCCAATGAACATCTGAAGTGGATATCTGTGGATAAGCTGTGCCTGCCAAGCAAAAACTTTCAAATATGCTGGCACTTCAATCTGTTCTCAGTCCTCTTCCTTCTACTTCAGAGGCAGCGATGACTCCGTCCAGGCCCTCGGAGACAGACCTGCAAGGCTCACACCAAAGCTAAGGCTCCAGACGGCTGCTCGGCTTTCCCATCAGGGACACAAAGTTCACGCCCAGCAAAGCAAAAGGAAGGGTGCTCATACAACAGAACCATGCAAGCCATGCTGTAATCTTTAATCCTCTAGTAGCAATGCTAATGAACATTCAACTCACTTGAATCATACTTTACATAAAGAAATACACTCAAAATACGCTTATCACACTGATTATATAATAAATTAATGAGCTATTTTACATTATTTTTTCCCACACCAAGTCTTTGTATTCATCTAAAATTTATGTTAAAGTCACATCTCAGTTGGGATGGACTATCTCTCAGGTGATCACCAAGCACGTGTGGGTGTGGGCCAGGGATGGCAGTCACGCCAGGCCAGAAGCCTCCGTTAATTTCCTGGAGGGGTGGGAAAAATAAAGGGGTCACTACGTGATGATGGTTTTGAGTCAATGCCACTTACAGTGGGATGAGGTCAAAGGGCCAGCTCTCCTCCACAGGGAAGTGCTTTCTCACCCTGACTTCTCATCATCCTTAATTTAAAATGCAGTATGCCCCCCTCGGGTCACACCGACCACCTGCTACTACCCGTGTATATGACACAGTAAACAAGTCCTTGTAAGTGCTCACTTCACTACCCTTTGGCACCAAGTGATGTGCGATAAATAGCTCCTGATCGCTGACTCTTACTAAAGCACTGACTAACCCACAAAGCACCCACATGAAGTTAAGAAAAACATCGATTAAAAAGTAGCTAACAGACCAAATAATAAAAGCCCATTTACCTCTTCTTTCTTGATATAATTAGTATTTATGAAGCACTCAAGCAGCATATCTTTAATTTCACTACTTTCCTCCAAATCATAATCAAAGCAATATAAAGCTTGATGAATACGCCAAAGCCGACATATGTCTGCACCCTAGGAGTGACAGAAAAGTGTTATATGTATAGTAAGACTGTATTTTAAATTAAGTAAATCTTATGTCATAAATAAAGTTCAAACACTAGAAAATTGTGACATAAAAAAGCAGATTTTAAAATCCACAAATACCACTTGCTGTTCTAGAGAATATTTTTTCAAAATACTCAGAAAAGTAGTCAGATGCCCGCAAGCACTCTTAAATAGAACTCACAGAAGTGATGAAGAATGTGGGGGTGGGGGAAGGGGTAGAGGTGCTGACAAGGAATTAAACCCGAGTATGTAAGAAAATTAACAACCGAAAAATATCCAATTTTGAAAATGAGCAAATTACCTGAACAGACATTTCTCAAAAGAAAATACACAAAACACCAAGCAGATGAATGAATGCTTAACCTCACCCTCATCAAGGAAACGCAAATCCAATCTACCCTGAGATACCATCCTACTCCAGTGACAATAACTATTATCAAAAAGGGAAAAAAAATGCCAGTGAGAAAAGAGATAGCAGACAGGACAAAGGGATGGGATCTAAGGAATAAATTGCTGGTGCAGATACACAACCATTCTGGGAAACAATATGGAAATGCCTCCAAAACACTAGAAACAAAGTTGGCATTTAAATAACCAGCAATCATGTAACTGGGTGGATACATATACACCAAAGGACACAAAAATGTTCCAGAAACATTTGCCCTTGCACATTTATTGCAGTGGTATTCACAAAGGCCAAGACGTGGATCCAGACCAGCCCAGCTGTTGCTCCCACTTGGGCAGTGAACCAGCGGATAGAAGCTCTCTCCTTTTCTCTATGTAACTCTGCCTTTCAAATTAAATATATGTTTAAAAAGGAAAAACTCCAGACACAAAAAGTTTCTATCACTCCTCTGGCCAGCAAGGAAACTTACACAGCGGCAATCAGAATTTTTCTGTCCTAAAGTTAGCTGTTACTGAAGAGGGCCTACTGACACAGATATTCATGGGAGTATAAACAGGCAAAGGGTTTATTTCCAAATTCTTTTGTCTTTTTGAATTTTTTAAAATATTTATTTATGTTGGATAGTCAGATAGTCAGAGAAAAGGAGAGACAGACAGGAAGATCTTCTTTCTGTTGATTCATTCCCCAAGTGGCCCAATGGCCAGAGCTGAACCAATCCAAAGTCAGGAGCCAGGAGCTTCTTCCAGGTCTCCCATGTGGGTGTAGGGTCCCAAGGTTTTGGGCCATCCTTGACTGCTTTCCCAGGCCATAAGCAGGGAGCTGGATGGAAAGTGGAGCAGCTGGGACATGAACCAGCACCCATATGGGAACCTGGCATGTTCAAGGAGAGGACTTTAACTGCTAAGCTACCACATTAGGCCATCTTTTTTAATTCTTTCAAATTCATACCCACAGTGACCCACTAGATCTGCCCTACGGACAAACAGATATTGGTGGGTGGTGGAATGAGTATCAAAAATAAACTTTTAAAACATCAATGTCCCCCTTGGACACTGAGATTGTGGGCCAGTTTATTGTTATTTGCCCAACTAACATTCTGAAATGAATACATGCATGTTTTTCTAGATTTTTGAGCTGTACACAAAAGCTCAACATACGCGAAACAGTCCAAGTTACATTCATCCACCAAACTTCTTCCTCAGCTTAGCAGCAACTGCCTCAGAACCGCATGGCAATAAGAAACAATCCCAGGAACGATCCCTCATGCAGCCTGTATCACCACCCAAGGCTTTCCTTGTCCACCCTGCCCATCCCTCACGTGGTGTGTCACATGGCCACTCTATCTCTGTGGCTCAGTCCTTCTTCCCTGACAGAAGTGGCCAGGGATACAACAGGGATACAAACTCAGAATCTGAGAGTTGGCCCTGTCTGCTCCCCTGCTTGCTTCTCTTACAGACAATTCAGACAAGAAACAGACGGAGACAGAGCAGCCAGTTTGTGATCCTGAAGTATCCAAAATGAAGACAGAAACCACACCCTAAGCAAAACAGACAAGTCTGGCATTAGACCTGTAATACAGAAGGCCAGGAGCATGGCAGAGGTCAAGTGGCTTCCTGTGCTGACAGTATCCCACATTAGCCCAAGTTCAAATCTCGGCTGCTCCATGACCTATCCAGCTGCCTGATGATGTGCCTGCTAGGAAGCAGCAATGGCTCAACTGTTTAAACCCGTGTTCACATGGGACATGGATCGAGTCGGGCTGGACCAGCCCTGGCCACAGCAGCCATTTGGGGAATGAAGAGCTTTTTTCCACTTCGTCTCTCTCTCTCTCTCTCTCTCTCTTGCTGTAACTCTGCCTTCCAAATAAATAACTACAATGTGGATCCTCTCCATTCACCTTTGACCTCTAAACATTATAGCTTCTTGAAACATTCTCTTGGGACTGCAGTTGTATCACGGGGAATAATGTTGCTGCCTACAAAGCTGACACTGGATCAAGATCTGGCTGTTGCACTTACAATCCACTTCCTGCTAACCGCCTAGGAAAAACAGCAGAGGACGGCCCAAGTATCTGGGATCCTGTTACCCAGTTAACCACGTGGAAGCCCCCGCTCATCACTGGCTGTTATGGCCAGAGTCAGGGGTTGGGGGGCAAAGAAGCACTCCCTCTCTCTGTAACTGTCTCAAATAAGTAAATAAATCTTCAAAGAAAAAAAAAAAATCCTTCAACTTGCGACACTACAATAGTTAGGTCACGGACAGTCAAACACAACCCTTTTCTAGCGAAGAATCTACGTAAGAAGCTGACATACTCTCTTGGTCTCGAGGCTCTTCCTCAGCAGCATGATGAAAGCAGTCTTGCCCATGTCCTCCTTGGCAGGGAGGCCTTTCTCCCACCATCTGACACACAAATCCTGGATGGAATTCTGTAGTTTTCGCTCAGATTCGGGTAATGCATATAAAACACCTGAAAACAAAGCAGTCATGAAGTTTATAAAGCAAATCCTTAATTAGTTCAGATTCAAGAGCTGAGAGTATTCTGACTTTGTATAAAGATTTGCTAAGCAAGCACTAATTTACATTTAACCTGCCAAAGATTATAAAATCTTAATTGATATAAAGAGGACAGATTTCATTCATTCCACAGACAGTTCCAAGATAATCACTTTCTTCACCTCCCCTTGCCCCTCATCCTTCCTTTCCCCTCATCAGTTTTTGCAAAGATGTAATGTTATAGCCCACTCCTCATTCACAGGCTTAACTCACCACTAACCATAATATTAAACAAATAAAAAGTACAAAGACTACAGTGCCACAGGAGTATAAACTACACACAACAATCATATCACAGAATGTCCATTTCATTCTATACATTATTGGTATTCTATACTAACTGCCATATAAAAAACATACTTGTCTTTTTGAGACTACTTGCCAAAGACTTATGTTATTTATTTACAAAACTCGAATAATGTTAATTAAGAATGTGTTTCACTCCTGTTATAAAAACAGGCCAGACACGGGGCTGGTGTTACTGTGTAGTAGGTTAAGTTAAGTGGCTAACTGCAACACCAGATTACATGTCTGCTGGCTCAAGACCTGGCTACTTCCCTTTTGATCCAGCTCCCTGTTAACGTGCTTGAGGAAGCAATACCCCTGCATCCACCTGGGAGACCTGGAAGAAGCTTCTGGCTTTGATCTAACTGAACCCTGGCTGTTGCAGCCAAATGAACAATGAACCATTGAACAGAAGATTTCTCTCTCCCTCTCTATTAACTCTTCCAAATGTAACAATAATAATAATAACAGTAACAATAAAAAGAGCTATCAGAACTAAGAATTATAGAAATGGGAGCCTCAGAGAGACCATGTTTGATTGATACAAATTCTGGAGAGGCAGGTGCCGAGGCTACTCAAACATAAGTGCAATGAGCCAGGTCAGGTCTACCTGACAAATCGATCACAAACATCCCTCAATGAGCAGGCCTCCGGTTTTAGCTTAGAATACAAAGATTGCAGTGTCTTTCTAACAGAAAACAATTAAAGTAACACTGACAATAGATGCGCAATTATAACCTATAACTAAATGCCATTACATAATGTAGCTTAACGAGGAAGTTGATAGCAAATCTTAGCACTAACCATTTTATCAATTATCTGAAGACTGCGAAAATGAACTGACAGTAACATCCACAAAGCATCTGGGAGCCACTGCCACACTGACTAGGAGTGACTTGTTAATAAGATGCTGTGTAGAGACTCAAGTATTCAGAATAAAACATACGAAGTACATACACAAACCCAGCCTGATTAAAGATGTGTCACGTGACCTTAACTATACTCACTGCCGTGATGAGGGCACTTGGGATCACTCCTTGATAAGTTGTTATTTAATATGAACTTCATCATTTATACCTATAACTTTACATAAATATTTTATAACCAGACCTTATCATTAATTCACATTATTAGAACTCCTAAAATAATAACCAGTCTGACAGTTCAGTTAAAATCTGACCAAAAGCACCATGAGTCAAACCTCAGTAAATACCGTGGCGTCAACATCACATTTATCACATCAGCAAAGGAAAACTCTCAATTTCACAAATTACTGGTTGACACTATCAGACAACAGTCACAAGCTGAGAAATTGTTGTAATCAGGTTTGCCTTTAAACAAGTTCTTGTAAGTCAAATGAGAGTTTACTGAAAAGTCTGTCAACAACAATTACTATACATCCGTACCACGGGTGACAGTGACATGGAGCCCAGAGTAATCACTCGGGCAGTCACGGCATGCCCCTTTTCTGACAGAAGTAACATTTGATTGCTAAACTATGTCTTCGTGCCGCTTCTAACACCAACAATGCCCATAAAAACAAGGAGCTTCCATTCACAAAGTTTGATTTCACTGCCCCACTTCCAAATAGGCCACTTCCAACAAAGTCAGCTTACCATTTAATATGATAGCACATTCCAGCAAGGCTTCAAAATTCTCACTCTCGTTTATTACAGATACAGAGACGAGAATCACAGACGTAATTGCGTGCATTATTTCTATATTTTTTTTCTACAAATGAAAATTAAAACGTGAATGAATTAAGGTCATCAAATTAAGTTCAATTTTTAAAGGAAATGTAAAACTTATTAAATCTAAAATTAAATCATATTGCAGTTTATTCTAAGAAGTGAATCAGAACTGAACACAAGAGGCAGGCATCCCACCTAGCAGTTAAGACACTGTTGGATGCCTAGACACCTTATCAGAGTGCCTGGGTTCCTGCAGGCTCTGCTTCCAAAACCAGACTCCTCCTTCATTTGCACTCTGGGACGCAGCAAAGGAGCACTCAAGTACTTGGGTCCTTGCCACCTGTCTCAGAGCCTGGACTGAGTTTCTGGTTCCCGGCTCCAGCCTAAGCCCGAGCCCGAGCCTGCCCCAGCACCAATCCTAGCCATGGCAAGTATCTAGAAAATGAACCACCAGGTGGAATCTCTCTCAACTTTTTTTTTTTTTTAAAAAAACTTGTTTGAAAGGTAGAATTACACAGAGGGAAAGACAAAGAGAGATCTAGATATTCCATCTGCTGGCTCCATTCCCAAATGGACTCAATACCCAGGGATATGCCAGGCCAAAGGCAGGGATTCAGATCTGGAGAGTCTTCCAGCTGTCCCATGTGGGGCACGGTCCTAAGTACTTGGGCCATCTTGTGCTGCTTTCCCATGCACGCGAGCATGGATCTGGAATGTAGGAGGGCCAGGTAATGAATCAGCAGCCACAGAGGATGCCAGCTTCACAGGCAGAGGCATGACTTGCTATGCCACAATGCTGGTTCCAAATATAAAACAAATGTTTTACGCTGAATACAAGTCACCTGTCCTAAAAGAACAAAGGGAACAGTAATACTGAATTCCCATTAACCATTGCTGTTAGCAATACCAGCACTAAAAAGTGGGTAAAATCAGAATAAATCAACTTAGCTTCTTCAATTCTCCTGAACTTCAAAAAAAAACTTTCTTAGCTTAAAATTCAATTATACATAATATAAACAACTACTTTTTAACAGAGAGAGCAGAGTTCTTATTTTTGTAGAAATCATACCATTTTTGAGCTATGCTCAGTTTCCATATCATCTTCACCCTGGACTTGCACTTCCTGCCACCCCTCCACTGGGCTTTCTAACAACATACTGGTCAACAAATTCTTCAGTCTATCCCATAATTCTTCTTTCTGCTTTCTTGATAATTCCTCCAATAATTCATTGAGGCTGAAAGGATCCGAGGCCTGTTTCTGTAAAAGAAATAGCAAATGTCACATTTCAAATAAATTTTTAAAATTTAGTTGTATCCTTTTCAAATGGCTTCAGTGCTAATGGCTCCAAGTTTCATGTATTTTCAAAATCTGTTGCTAGAAGGGAAAATGTGCAGAGATGATCAAAGTAGCAAGTTCTTTCTCTAGTCTTCCCTAGTACTCTAATCTTGGGAGTTTGAAAAGTCATCCACTTAACAAAACTCTCCCTAAAATTAATCCAAAGAAGCACCACCTCAAGACACAAAAGAGTTTAATAACAGCAACAGTAAGAAAAATAAGGCAGCCAAGTAGGCTGATTTCACTTTCAGTTTCTGGTGCCAAACCCCATAAGAACCCTCAACATCACTAGCTGGTCTGCCCCAGTCATTATTCTCTCCCCTTAGCCAAATTAAACCTTTTCTAATCTCTCCAACTTCCCTCTAAATTCGCTTCCTCCTTTCACAGCAAACTAGAGACCATTATCAAAACACTAGGATCTAACTTAAGAAATGGTCTGAACAAGGTGGGTGCTTAGTTTAGTGGTTATGTTTTCAGAAAGGCCATGACACTGCTGGCATGGTAACACAGTAGGTAAAGCTCCCTGGGTGCCAGTTTCGGTCCTGGCTCCCTGAGGACTCTGGCTCTCTGCTAACGGCCTGGAAAGGCAGTGGAAGCTGAGCCCCACACAAGTGGAAGACCCATCTGAAGCTCCTGGCCCTACACTGGGCAGGGGTCAGCACATGGAACGCCCACCTCTCCTTCTAACTCAGCCTTTCCCATAAGTAACTGAAAGGATTCTCTGAAAAAAAGTGTATTTCATTTGGGAGAAGTGATGATCTCACATCAGCTGCTATACACATTCACACGCAAAAGCTAAGTAGTAGAGCTAAAACCTAAAACTTACATCAAGCTGAACAAATTGTAAAAACTCTCCAACCAGCTCCTTAGATACGGCTTGCACAAAATTCTCTCGTTTTTCCATGATGGATGAAACTGTTTCAATGGCATTTATCTTGAAACCCTGGTAGAAAACAATCATATTGGAACTTAATTTGCAAATATACCTTTCTCTACAATACTTAATTTACTGTTAAAAACATTCAACAACTGCAAGAAATTCCTGCACCATCTAGACAGTTTCTAACAATATTCTGACATAAAAACAAGTTAAAAATATCTGAAAGACAATTTACTGTCATTATCAACATAACAGCAATGACGTGTTTTCACCAACAGGTAGTGATGACACAAGAGGGAACCCAATGGCCCCACAAGCTCACCTTCTCCCCCTTCTAGCAAGATAAAGCAGACCGACTCCAGGCAACCACAGAGCAGGCTGACCCCAAATTCTGAAGACTCCCCTTCGACAGCACCATTCTCCTCCAGCACCAAAACCTCACTCTTAGAGTGGCTTGTTATTCCAAGCAAGAACCAGAACAGCCCTGCGGTCTCCAGGGGGCTCGTTAGACTGCAGGAAGCCAGCCCAGCCCAGGCCCGGCCCTCCACGCCCCTGCAGAGTAATGAGAGCCCAGGGGAACGGAAGCACCCTCGTTGCCCCAGCAAACCCCAGGCTGCATTGCACCATCTGAGGCTAAAGGAAAAACATCAACACGACAGTGAGTGAGATAACCGCAGATGATGGAACACAAGTGCCACAGAGGCCCTTTGCTTTCCAAATAAAGCAACGTTGCCTGCACCATCATTGTTCCTGGTGGCAAGGACAGGGCCAGGGAGTCATTGCACATAGGCTAGGGAGTAGAACAGCTCAACATCTGCCCGGGTCAAACGCCTGAACAACGAACTGCAACTTTCCATGAATCAAAACAAAACAACAACAACAACAAAAGGCCAGAACCAAGTCAGGAAGACAAGGGAGCTCCCAGGGAGCTGTCACAAGCCTGGGCATCCTGCACGTCGGGTCTCTGGCCAAGTGCATCCCCCCCAACCCCAGGTCCAGGGCGCCCAGGGCCGACCAGGCTGCAGCTCTGCTGTGCCAACGGCGGGGACGGGCGGCTTCCACTCCCTCGGCTCGGCTGCTCAAGGGGACGACCCTCGAGGTCCGCTTTGACTCGTGTCAAAGCCCTCGCCCAGCCAAGCCACAACGTCCCTCGTCTCATCGTCCAGTCATCCCGTTTCCGGGCAAGAATTTCTTCACCACTCAAGTCTGATGCGGAATTTTTAAAAAAAAAGAGAACCCTGTTGTCTTAAGAGCTGCCGCATTCCCTACCCGTCCCCGCGCCTCCGAGCCCCCCTCGCCACACAGGCGGTCCCGGAGAAGGTTCTCTCGGCTCGGAGAGAGCGGTCCTCGCGGACACCCGCCCCGGGGGGTCAGGCGTGGAAGGTTCTCTCAGGCCAGCTGCCCCCGCTCCTCAAGGCAGTCATTCCCCGGGCTCAGGGAACCCTCCCGACGGCCAGCCTCTCTCCCCGAGCGGCGGATGGCTCACGCCTCAGCCGACCTCGCCCCTGTCAGAGTCGCCGGCCGCCCAGCGCACGGCCCCGCGGCTGACGCAGACGCCGACCCCTCTCGGCGGTACCTGTCCGCGGGCGCCCAGCGCTGTCCGGTCGCCCACAGCCAGCCCTTTCCGGCGGCGAAGCCCCGAGCTCACCGAGGACCTGGGACGCCGCCGTTTCCCGCGCTCGGAATAGATTCAAACACACCCGCCCGCGCCCGCGACGCAGCCCGCCCTCCCGTGCGTCATCAAGCGGCGTCTCGCGAGAGCTGGCACGGCGCCTCGGCGCTCCGCCCCCGCCGCTCTCCCTGCCCCGCCCTCGCCGCGCTGTCTGCCCCGCCCCTGGGGCGTGGCCACGGGCTGCCCGGTGTGACGCGAGCCGCGAGGCGCGCACGCGCGAAGGCACCGCGCCCCTGTCGTCCGGCCCATAGGGCGTGGTGCGAGTTCTAGAAGCCGGTGGAGGAGCAGGGGGCGTCAAGGAAGCGGCCTGGGCGGGTTCCCGCCGTCCGAACCCGCGCATGTTTTTCCTGGAGAACTAAGAGGAGTGGAAAAATGTCTGTCACTCGACCCCTTGGTCGTTTTTAGCTACAGACTGAAGCCATACTGACCTGTCAGCAACCATTTAAAATTTTCGTCAGCTAAGAAGTCACTGGACTTTCCCCTGTTTTTCTCCAAAGAAATAGTATAACTAAAATTAAGAACTTTCAAGCAGCTTTCAAGAAACCACTTGACTTTGACGACTTTTTTTTTTTTGGGCCGGTCACTTGGAATCGTTCACTTTCTCAGTGCTTAGGAAGTTTATTAAGAAAAGTTGACGTTTGTGGTACGTGTTTGAAGGCATTTTTGCAATACTTTAATAAAGCTTTTATCAGTGGATTTCATTTCTTTTTCGAACCTTCCATATGGAAACAGATAGCTGTACGGAAAATGTCTTTAAAGACTACAATAGGACCATGCCGGTGCTGTGGGACTCTCCTAGCTGCCTGCGGGTTCCCAGTTGAGTTGCTGGCACTTCCACTTCCTGCAGCGCCCTGCCAGCGCACCTGCGAAGGCAACAGGTGGTGGCTCAGTTTCTGGGGTCCCCACCACCCTCGTGGGAGACCTGGAGGAAGGTCCATGCTCTGACCTGGGCCTGCCACAACCTGTGCCAGCCAGGTGCTGAACTTGGAGATGAAGGAGTCTCTCCCCTTCCTCCCACTTTTACTCTGCCTTTCAAATAAATGAACCTTTTTTTCTTGCTGTATTTTGATGTGTTTCTTTATTTTTTTTTAAAGATTTATTTTATTATTTTTTACTGGAAAGGCGGATATACAGAGAGGAGAGACAGAGAGGAAGATCTTCCGTCCGATGATTCACTCCCCAAGTGAGCACAACGGGCCGATGCTATGCCAGTCCGAAGCCAGGAGCCTCTTCCGGGTTTCCCACGCGGGTGCAGGGTCCCAAAGCTTTGGGCCGTCCTCGACTGCTTCCCCGGGCCACAGGCAGGGAGCTGGAAGGGAAGCGGGGCTGCCGGGATTAGAACCGGCGCCCATATGGGATCCCGGGCATGCAAGGCGAGGACCTTAACCACTGTGCCACCGCGCCGGGCCCGTGTTTATTTTATGATACAATTCCATAGGCTCGAACAAATGTTTAAAAATATAGTAACTCTTCGGCCCGATGTGGTAGGCTAGTGGCTAAAAAGTCCTCGCTGTGCACGCACTGGGATCCCATATGGGCGCCGATCTAATCCTGGCAGCTCCACTTCCATCCAACTCCCTGCTTGTGGCCTGGAAAAGCTGTCGAGAACAGCCCAAAGCCTTGGGACTCTGCATCCTTGTGGCAGACCTGGGAAGAAGTTCCTGGCTCCTGGCTCCGGATCGGCATAGCATCAGCCCTTGCGCTCACTTGGGGAGTGAATCATCGGACGGAAGATCTTCCTCTCTGTCTTTCCTCCTCTCTGTACCTCTGACTTTCCAATAAAAATAAATAAAATCTTTTAAAAAAATGGTCTAAAAGTATAAAATGTCTAAAGCTAAAACTGTGAAGTGTGTATAAATATTTTCATTTTAAAAGTTTATTTAATGAGATGCTAACAGGCACAAGTGAGTCCTTGGGTCACACTAGGCATGCCAAACAGGAGCTCCATCCTCCCAGCGTCATGTAGTGGTGGATGTGGGGGCAGGGAAGGCAGCCCTTACCCGCGACCAGGGACTTTCCATCCGATGGCTCACTCCCCACGCAGCCGCAACGGCTGGAGCTGAGCTGATCTGAAGCCAGGAGCCAGAAATTTTTTCCAGTTCTCCCATGTGGATTCAGGGACCCAAGGACTTGAGCCATCCTACACTGCTTTTCTAAGCCATAAGCAGAGAGCTGGACCAGAAATGGGCCAGTCAGGACTTGAACTGGCACCCAGACAGGATGCTGGCACTGCACGTGGAGGATTAGCCTTCTACCCCACAGCGCCAGCCCCCATACCTTTCTTTTTTTTTTTAAAGATTTATTTTTATTATTTTTTCATTGGAAAGGCGGATATACAGAGAGGAGAGACAGAGAGGAAGATCTTCTGTCCAATGATTCACTCCCCAAGTGAGCGCAACGGCTGATGCTATGCTGATCCGAAGCCAGGAGCCTCTTCCGGGTTTCCCACGCGGGTGCAGGGTCCCAAAGCTTTGGGCCGTCCTTGACTGCTTTCCTGGGCCACAGGCAGGGAGCTGGAAGGGAAGCTGGGCTGCTGGGATTAGAACCGGCGCCCATATGGGATCCTGGGCGTACAAAGCGAGGACCTTAACCACTGTGCCTCGGCGCTGGGCCCCATCCCTTTCTTTTAAGCAGTGCACTGGGAACGATTCATTTTCATGTGACCCCCTCACATTGTGCTAGCTCATCTAAAACCCGTCTCCCTCTTGGCCTGCCTCGGTGTGCACAATCACTTGTCCTCCCAGCCTAGTCCCTGGGGCTCTGCAACTTCTGCTCATTCCGCTGTTTGTAAGTCCGCAACAGCCATGCTCCTCTCTCACCACCTCAGAGACACTGTATCCCCAGACCTTATGACTCCCTCTGCTGTCCTCTGGGTGCTCGGGAATTTACCAAAACTCCCTTTAAAAGGTTTATTTATTTACTTGAGAAACAGATACACAGAGAAAGAGACGGAGAGATATAGAAACAGAGAGACCTTCCACCTGTTGGTTCGCCCTCCAAAAGGCTGCAATGACTGGGGCTGGGCCAGGTAGAAGCCAGGAGCTTAGAACTCCAGCCAGGTCTCATAACTGGGTGCTAGGGTCCCATGCACTTGGGCTATGTTTGGCTCTTTTCCCAGGCACATTAGCTGGGAGCTGGATGGGAAGTGGTACAACTGGGATTTGAACCACAAGTCATATGGAATGTTGGTGTTGTGGGCAGTGGCTTGAGATGCAATAATGCAACACTGGCCCCAAGGCTGGTTTTTTTTTTTTAATTTCCTTCCTTCCTTCCCTCTTTGTCCTTCCTTCCTCCCTTCCTCCCTCCCTCCCTTCCTTCCTTCCTTCCTTCCTTCCTTTCTCCAGCATCCACAAATGCATGATTTACATTTGATTTACTATGCTACCAAGGTTTATTTGGCATGTGATTCCTGCCCCCGTCTTTATTTTGTAATGTTCTACCTACTTGATGGTTAAACTTGCCTTCTATAATTTTTTCAGAACTGGCATGATGGCTCAGTGGCTAAAACCTCCCCTAGAACACACTAGAAACTCATATAGGTGTCGGTTTGTATCCTGGCTGCTCCACTTCCCATCCAGCCCTATGCCTGTGGCCCGGGAAAGCAGTGGAGGATGGCCCAAAGCTTTGGGACTCTGCATCTACGTGGGAGACCTGGAAGAAGCTCCAGGCTCCTGGCTTTGCATTGGCTTAGCTCCGGCTGTTGTGGCCACTTGGAGGGTGAACCAACAGATGCAAGCTCTTTCTCCTCATCTCTGCTTCTTTGTGTAAGTCTTCCTTTCCAATACAAATAAAATAATTCATCTTAAAAAAGAACCCAAGAAACAAAAAATACCAATCTCAAGCTCTTGTCCTGTCTGAATTGCCAAAGGCAAATCTTCTGCAGCTTTGTGCGATACATTATATCTTTCCTACATTCTTTTGTCTGCTTTTCCCTGAGTTTTCTTTTAATGAAACAGTAACAAAATTATCACTATTGGCTGGGCTCCATTTTTGTTGTTGTTGTTGTTGCGACACAGTTTAGCAAGATAACT